ACACTCAGATTGATTACCCGTTCCTAATCCTAATCCTAAACCCGATTTTTTTATTGCCATCAAAAATGTTTCATTGTCATATTAGTTTTTCTCAACCCAAAATTAGTATAAATTGGCTCATGAAGTGCTGGAAAAATTCAAAAATTTGTTTTTGTTGCCTAGTGTAATCAGTCACAAATTTCAAACTCATTCGTGGAATTTTTTGATAGAATCTATAACTCCGAAAGAAATAATACCTACGCTGATGAAGCAGAAATTACAGATACGATAAATGAAGATACATTATCTTATAACGTTTCTTAATGTGGAAACTAAAATATATCCTAAATTCCGTCAAGGAAACAACACCTGGTCCTGACAATATCCATTTTGATATGATTAAAAATCTTTCTCTTGACATACTGAACTGGCTCCTAAAATATTACAATTATGTATAGTCCACTGGATACTTCCCAACTTCCTGGGGCAATTCTTTGGTTATTCCTATTCTTAAGAACGAAAAATACAAGCGGCTCCCAGATAACTATGTTCCTATATTTCTCACAAGCTGCTTAAACAAAATAATGGAACGGATGGTAAATAAAAGATTGATGGGGATTATATTTAATGCAGCTATTTCAGTCTCGGTTCCGCAAGGAACGATGCACAAAAGACCACCTAGTTGCATTGGAGACAGAAACCCAGTATGACAACAAGCGATTACTATTTTCTTTGATATGAAGAAAGCTTTTGACAGCATACAGTATGATGTAATCTTTAAAAGGCTATCATCAATTGGAATAATAGGGAACATGTTCAATTGCATTAAACAATTTCTTTCAAATCGCCATGTAAGAGTAAGAATAGGCTGCGAAACATCAACGGAGCATAAACAGATCAGTAGTGCCCCACAAAGCTGTGTCCTAATTCCAACATTGTTCTGCGTAGCATTAAATGACTTGGGACTTAACTTACCTGGAGGTGTCAAACCTTTACTGTTCGCAGATGATCTGTCTATCGTATGCCGCTCTAACGACATTACCATTATTCAGCAAAAAATACAGGAAGCCATAAATAGAATAAAAAACCGGTCCCTTTCCACTGGTCTCGTATTCTCCGCTGTGCCTCCTCCAAAAAACGAAGTGCCTCCATTTCAGTAGAAAGCGAAATACTCCTCCCTCTCCTGACATTTACTTAGACAATTCCCTAATCCTTTAAACAGTGACAGATTCCTGGATATGGTATTTGACCGAAGACTGACATGGGAAACTCATGTCTCAAACTCTAAAAACGGCAGCAACCAAACAACTAACCATATTAAGATATCTAAGAGGTACCTACTGGGGTTCGGATAAGATCACCCTACTAAAATTGTTTCGCTCATTGATATGCTCAAAGCTTGACTATAATTGTTTTATCTACTACAGTTCTACACGGTTCCAGATCCTTAATAAACTTGATGCAGTACATCACGCTGGTATTAGGATTGCGACTGGCGCGTTTCAAATCAGCCCGGTTCTCAGTTTGTGATCTGAAGCAGGAGAACCTCCTATTTTATTCAAACGAAAAACTAGCCATTAATTATATTTCTAGACTATACCCTCAAACATGAACACCCGACGTATAGATATAATTTCGAAAGTTTTTTAAAAGAAAACTAATTCAACCTTTCCTTTGGCAGACAGAATTAACGCAGCTACGGCATTCCTTAAAGAATTAAAGAAAAATAAACAAAAAATTGCGATCCTCTATGGATAAACAAACCATACTAAACTTATCACAATTACCGAAAAACGAAACCTCACCTTCTGAATACAAAAATAAATTTTCTCGTCTTCTTCACAAAATTCCGGAACCATTTTTAATATATACCGACGGAACAAAATCCGAAGAATCCAAAGCATCTTCATTTATTACTCACAGCTCCACCCACAAAATGAAACTACATTTATTATAAAGTATATATATAGATAGATAGATAGATAGAAAAAAAAACTTTATTCTGGGACTAAGTCCCTTCAGAATAACAATAATGTACAAAATAATAGAATATTACTGGCCTGAACGTTGAAACAATAAATAAAACTGATAAAATAAAATAAAAAGTAAAGAAATCTTAGGTGCACAAGCTATATACAATACAGATAAAACTATGTACAGAGCATTTAAAATTATGAATAAAACAATTAAAACTATGAACGAATCATTTGAACTATGAACAAAATTATATTTAAGGGTTGAACAACATAAACATACACTTTGAGAAATGAAGAACGAAAAAGAGATACAATGAGTTCATTTCATAAAAAAAAAAAAAAACTTTACTTGAATATATATATGAAAATAAACAGTTATTTATAATTGAATAAAAAAAAAAAAATACAAAAAAATGTATGTATTGAAATTCCTACGTCGATAGTAGGAAATGCATGTACTATCTCTTACCAAGTGTTATGATTATATGATTGCTACACAATATATGTATAATATTAATCGTTAGCTGGTATCTGACTGTTTTTGGAACAGGAATTGGAATAGGAGGTTTTTGAATGTGTACAGGGAAGGGGCATGTCGAATTTTGATCGGGAGGGAATTCCAAAAGTTGACAGAGCGGGCTATAAAGGAATTTTGGAATGAGGCAGATCTATGAGAAGGGATGTATAGGTCGGAGGGTCGGGATCTTGTAGTGAGTGAATGGATTGAGGACTTAAATTGGAGAAGGTTGTAGGCATAAGAAGGACGATGATCGGTAATGATTTGATAAAGGAAAGTGCCAAGGAAATATTGTCTTCTTAAGGAGGGGAAGAGCCACCCTAACTCAGTGTAGAAAGAGAATTTCGTTATATACAGCTTAACTTCACGCAGTAGCCTCAGCTCTCCATTTCTCCATGTCGAAAACCTCCAAATCAATAGTAATAATAATAGACTGAGTTCTTTAAAAGATATTAATAATATACAGGTTATTCCAGGGTTAAGTGGCCAAACTGGAAATATGAATTAAGGACCTCCTAAAATAAAGAAAATAAATTCCTATGAATGTATGTCCGCAAACACTTTGTTGAGGATATATTCACACCTAAAGATTTTCATTGTTATGAATTATTTAGATAGATAGATAGATAGAAAAATAATTTTATTCTGATACACAGTCCCTTGAGAATAACAAAATAGAACAAAATTAAAAGATCACATCTGGCCAAAATAAAATCAATCGAAAAAAAGAAATAATGTAAAAAAAATATAAGGTAAACATTCTTTATACAAAAAAACGAAACTATATACAAAACAATTAATACTATGACAAGGCACTTAAAGCTATTTGCACTGATAGACTCGTATACACTTTTGGGAAAATAATAAAGAATTAAAAAATAAAAATGTATCAAATTCTCTATTAAAATCAGCTCGAATGGTTAGCAACTATCTGACTGTTCTTGGGATAGGGATTGGAATAGGAGGGTTTTGAATTTGGATATGGATGGGGAATGTCGAATTTTGATAGGGAGGGAATTCCAGAAACTGACAGAGCGAACAATAAAGGAATTTTGGAATGAGGCAGATCTGTGAGAAGGCATGTAAAGGTTAGAAGGTCGAGATCTTGTGGACAGGGAATGGACTGAGGATTTGAGCTGGAGAAGGTTGTACGCGTAAGAAGGACGTTGGCTGTTGATGATTTGGTAGAGGAACGTACCTAGGAAATATTGTCTTCGGAAGGAGGGGAAAAGCCACTTTAACTCAGCGTAGTGGTGAGAAACATGGGAGTATGTTGGGGCCCCGATCTTACGCAGCTGTTCATTAGTATTTTCAGTCTATCGCGAAGCTCCACAGATAGGCCATCATACACCACACAGCTATAGTCAAAGTGGGGAAAAATGAGAGAGGAAACTAAGAGTCTACGCGTGGAGAATTGATTTAGGTAGGTCGTTAATGTAGGAGCTGAAAAGGAGAGGAGATATGCTTGAACCCTGGGCAACTCCTATTTACGTTATATGAAATTAATAAAACCTGGAATATTCCACTACAACTGAGAAGGGACATGTGGCTTCAGTTAGATGGCTGTAATGCACATTACGGAAGAAGTCCACGCCAATGGCTAAATGTTAATAATCCCAATCAACGGTCTGACATAAAATATAAATGGGCAAGAAAAAAAGGAAAAATTGGTAATATTGACAAAATCTTCTGTAAAGCTTCAAGCCTTTTTCTTAGTAATACTAGATAATAGCGAAATAATTTTGTTACATCATGATCAAAACGCGAATTCAAGAGTCACTTTGCAGTTCATCGGGTTGTCGTGTGAAAGTGCTTGCCAAGTATACACTTTTCTAGACATGTCAACCGATGGAAATTATTTATATTTTTGTTGTGTACTCACATACCTTCATCAAATGATAATTAATATTCATAATGAAATGGATAAGCCGCGGAAACCTGAAAAAAGGTTGTTTCCAAGATTTTAAGCCCTTCATTTTTGTTTCGATTTTGAATTAATATTAGTACGTTAAATAACAATTATCCCTTTCCCACATATTACATAAATGTTTTGTGTAGTTAACCGGACTTAAAACAGCCTGGCCACCAACACCCCTTGGTTTGTTTGTATTTAATTGTAACTAACCATTCCAAAACCGACAGGGCACTCAGCGAGATACGCACCTGCCCGAAGGAGCTCTAAATACTAGGTATCTATAAATGCATTTGTCAGAAAAAAATACAGGAGAAGAAAAAAACCATGAATAATGTAAATAATCTATACTGATTCCAATTCTCAGAAAGAGTTCAAAGAGGGCTTGTAACGGACTGATGTGGGATCTCACTCTTTCCAACATGTTGGAGAATGTTAAGTTCGTACTTTCTGAAAATGCCCAAAAAATAAACGAGTTTGAGAATTCTACTTAATTTTATCTCAAATTTATAACAGAATGGAATAACAAGCATCGGAATGTCTTACTAGCAATGAATAATTACAAATAAAATTGGACGATAGTTTTATCTCCTACCTACTTGTAAGATTGTCTCTGGCCAATCGATACTTAGTATATGTATCGTGATAGCTTCAACTCTATTTACAATCTTTAAATGATAAAATACTGGACGTTAGGTGGATTTGTAAACACTTTTATGGATTGCTATTGGATGGAGATTGACGCTAATTTATTCGTTTCTTAATTCATAGAACTGGCTGCAATATGTAAAATGCATCCATTTAGTTAAATGGTCTTATTTTAAATTGTAATATGATCATTACTTTCAGTGCTGAAATGTCACAAGCACATTTAATAAAACCTATATGATATGTAGTACATCAAACACTGCTAATAGTTTTTAAAAAATAACCAAATATCCATAACAATGGACATAATATTTATTTTTATAAACTTTTTATATAGCTCAAGATTAGTTAAATGACAATGCACCATAATGAAAAAACAATACATTAGAGCGCTAATTATATCTACTATCAGTATTTTGTGTTACTACAACAGTTTTAATTGTGGATTTGTGTTTGATGACATTAGTGCAATTAAGGAGAATCGAGATTTAAGGCCACACACTCCATGGAAGAATGTTTTTTTCAACGACTTTTGGGGGACTGCAATTCACAAGGTACCCTGATTTTCTTTAGATATTTGGTGATTGAAATTTTTAATTAACTGTTTTTGCTTAGTATGTATTTCACGTTAAGATTGGGTTGTTCGCTTAGGTCTTAAACTAAAGTTTAAGTTAAATTATTTTTAATGCATGGTAAATGAAACTGAATAGTTTTTGACATACAGACATAAGTGAGTAAAAAACTCTCCAAGAGGCAGAAAATAGATGTTATGTTATGATTATAATAATCCGACCACACAGCCTTTTGTTTTTATCTTAAGGTTTTTCTAATTTTAACATTCACCAATAATAGAAGTCGTTCAGAATCCAAATACATTATTGGATTTTGAAGAACCAATAGTTTATAAAATTAAAATTAACTAAATAATAATGATTAGAAACAAATTTATATGTATGAATGTTTAACTTATTGATAAATATGTGACAGATTTAAACTTAATAGGTTAATTACAATACAGTGAAAAACTAATATATATATATATATATATATATAAGTACTGCTTCACCTGAATAATATTTAGCTGTTTTCATGACCTTAAAAAAAAGATTATCAATATAATGATCAATGACATAAATATATACTAGATGCTAATGTTTAGAATAAAATCCATGAATAGTAGAGTGTGATTGCAACCCAAAAACATCTGCCTGTAGTAAATTCCCAAAAGGAAACAATGAACCGAATAGGCAGATATAGATAATTGAACTTCATAATCAACAATTATAAACTAACTTTACAAGCTATAAGTATTTGTTAAAGTTTTAATAAATTGATTTTTTTACATTGGTGTGGTTGATTGAAGATGAAGCATTAAATAGTGTTAAAATATTGAAGGAATTGTTGATAGAAATGGATAAGGAGTTCCGGAAAGAGATAACAAGAATATTATGAGATTTTCCATAGGTAGTTCTTTGGGAGAGGGGTGAGGGATATTTAAAGAGTGAAGAGACCGACATTGATTTTGAAAATTAAGAATATTAGATTTGTTTTTTTGCTCGTCGATAGAATAAGATACACTTAGGAATTATTGCCACAACAAAATGGGAAAACTGGAGTACTTGGGAATCACCAAAGATGAAACTAATCAAGCTATTAGTCTTATCAATCTCATCTCATCCCCGCCAGACATTTTAACAAAATAATAGCTCTAATCAAAGTAAAGGAAAATATCTTTTAAAAATGTGAGCTGAATGACTTTTGAAGGCATAGAAGCACAGAATCTTGGGAACTTTGTGAGAATCCATTGATAACAATGGAGTTTTGAGTAATTTTTGGAAATTTGGTTATTCCAAGATTCCATTCCTGATCAGAAATGGTTCCAAATTTTTTGACAAACGTTTGGAAGTGAATTGGTAGGCTATTGAGAATATGGAATAGTGAGGATAGGAATTAAGAATGTGCTTGTTATTGATGATGCTTTCATCAGAATTAATATTATTAATTGACCATGCTTTGATAATATTAATATTATCTTGCAACTTTTGGATAATGTCAATTAGTAGGATTGGTTTATTTGGAATTTATAAGTATACGTAAGGTATTATAAGTTATTGATGGAATCAGGAAGATCACTAATACACCCAAAGTAAATGAGTTACGAGTTGTAGTAGGAGGGGAGAAGCAGATTTATTATCAATGATAAATATTTGGTGATGAGATAAAAAAGATAATATTAACTTTAAAACACCATTAGATATAAGGATGATTTGAAGTTTGGATAGGAGGTACTTGTGATCGTATAATTCAAAAGCTTCAGAGAAACTCACTAAGACTCTGATAAAAGAGACAGAGCAGATCGGCCTACAGGTAAATGAAGACAAAACAAAATATATGATAATAGGCAAACAAATTTACCCCAATAAAAGGATCCGTATAAAAGGAAAATCATTCCCGAGAGTAAAAAAATTGTAATACCTCGGCTTCTCAATAATTGACCAATGGGCAGAAATAGACCAGCGCATTACTAGCGAAAACAAAGCTTTCTTCTCCCTTTCAAAGTTATTGAAAACCTAAAACATCTCAAATTAAGGATGTACAGTGCCATGATAAAGCCAGTTCTAATATATGGCTATGAGACCTGGACACTAACCAGCACTCTAGAAAAAAGTTTTGAAAGGTTTCGGAGAAAAATCCTCCGCATGATAACCGGAGCGATCTGGGATCAGAGTACTAACACATGGAGAAGAAAGATAAATAAAGAACTACTTACAGATACTGGTCAATCAATATCCCATGATATGAAGGCACGGAGGTTAAGATAGGCGGTGCATGTAGCACGCAGAAATCCATCTGGAAGCCTCGATGTAACAATGAATGCCTCAATAGAAAGGCAAAAGGCCAAAAAGCAGATGGACAGAGAGAATCAACAAATACACAATAGAGCTGCGTGCAGATAAATGGAAAGAAATAGCCCAAGCCAGGCAGAGATGGAGCAGGCTTGTTAAGGTGGCAAAAGACATACATAGTCTTTAATGCCAATAAGAAAAAAAGAAGCATTTTAATATTATATTAAAAATAATATAAAATGAACCAATAATAATGGAAAATATTTCAAACAAAAAAACATTAAGTCTTAATATACTCAGTATACAGAGAGGACCTATCGAACATTATGTAGTACATGTACACTCCATCACATCTTGTTATTTTACAAGCTATATGTTTTTTATAAGACGGGTGGTGATTCTAGAAATAGTAACTATAGTATCCATTTAATTGCATATATATTTAGAAGCAAATCAAATCAATCTACAAATAACTGAAGAGAAAATAAAATATATGATATTAAGCTGAAAATTCCACTCTATTACAGGATCTGTGTAGAAGGGAAATTTTTCCTGAGTGAACAACAAGAGCAAACAGATCTTTCTTCTCTCTTCATAAGTTACTGAAATCCTGAAAAATCTCAAATTAAGTGTGTACAATACTATGATAGAGCCAGTCTGATATACAGCTGTATAACTTGCACAATAACCACTACTCCAGAAAGAAGTATTGAAAGATTTAAGAGAAAAAACATCTGCATGATGGAATCAGAGAATCAGACATAGAGGAATGAAATCAAACTCCAAATCTTTGAGTTCTGTTAATTATTTTTTATTTACAAACTTTATCAGTATATTTGAATATATTAGAAGGAGAATATCAATATGGAACATTGGAAATACCTTAATGTTTGACTTGGTTGCTCACACAAAAGAGAAATTACTTGTGGAATATTATTGAGTGAAACTAGATCTTCCGTCAACACCTTTATCTGTATACCTTGGTGTAGACTGCTTTTTGATCTACCTTCTCAGATTTTTGTCTTATTAGATGAAATTATCTTGTCCCATAAAGTGCTTCTTCCTGGGTATTTCATTTTAGTGCTTTCCTCAGTTTTTCTTTCTTGCAGAAAATGCTTTTCAGATATTTTCACTCTTACTCATGCTTCTTAGAAATTTCTACTGGAGCAAATGCCCTTAAAAAGTCTATTTCATAAGAACTAGCACCAGACTTTGACAACCTGGTTTTATAGGTTTTCTTAATTACGTTATCAGAGTGGTATTTTTATAAGATTGACCTGGTAATGTTGGAAAAACTTTTAGCTCTGTTTATCCATAGCCTTGAAGTACCTGGCAAATTCATCAAATCATCACCACATTGAAAGAAATATTAAGTAACGAATGTGAAAAATCACATTTTTCAATTTCGTTTGTTTAACATACTCCATAAGGCACACATTGAAAGAATGAATGAACAATTATTTTATTTTGCGACTTAAGTCCCCTTAGAATAACAGCAGAGCTCAAAAAAATGTATACATCAGTCTGGCATGTACTTATAATATAAATATACACAAAGAATCTTAAGAAAAATACCATTATATACAAAAAATGCTGAGAGAAAAATAAAAGTAAAATGGCTCTCATCAATTAACTGTTGACAAACAATTATAATTATATTACCTAAAAATTCTTACAAGCTTGTGAAGTTTGAATGTGTAGTAGGTGGAGGAATAGGAACTGTTTGAAGAAACTTGTGGACGTGGTTTGACGTATGGAGATAGGTAAGGAGTTCCATAAGGAGGTAGCACAAATGACGAAGGATTTGCTTAAGAAGGTGGTTTTATGGGAAGGGATACATAGATCTATAGGATGAGATCTGGTATTAAGAGAGTGGATAGAGGAATGTAGAATAAGGAGCTCTAGGATGTTGGGAGTATTTTTGGTTGTGAGAACTTGGAAAAGGAAAATACCAAGAAGTATTTGCTGTCGGGAAATAGGATAGAGCAACTTCAACTCGGTGTATAAGCAGGAAACATGGGAATGCCTGGGGATCCCAAAGATGAATCTTATGGAGCAATTCATGATTCTCTTCAGTCTTGTTCAGTACAGTTCTGTCTTCAGGACAGACCTCCATACACCAAGCAACCGTTGTCGAAATGGGGGAAAAGAAGGGATGTTACAAGGAGCTGTCTGGTGTTTTTTGGAATAGATTCATGGAATCGTAGGAATTGTTTAAGGATGGTTATGGATTTTCAGGTAATCTGGGAAATGTGGTTATTCAAAGAGAGGTTCTGATCAAAGATTACTCTGAGATTTTTGACTGTTGGAAAGAAATGGATGAGATGGTTATTGAGGTAAAGTAAAGGAGAGAAAGGAAGGGAACTAATAAGTTGCTTGGAACCCATGAGGATTGCCTTAGTTTTATCTTCGTTCAGGTTCAGTTAGTTTTTCTCTGCCCACTTGTAGATACAGTCATTATCCTCTTGCAGTTTTCGGGCAACCTCAGGCATCTTAGAAGGTTAGAACGATATGTAAATTTGGAGATCGTCTGCATTTAAGTGGTATCATGAGTGATGAATGGAGTCAGGAAGGTCGCTAATATAAATGGAGAAAAGGGTTGGAGAGAGTGAGGAGCCCTGAGAAACACCTCGTGATAATTAAATGGATGAGGAAGGAGATTTGTTTGGAATAGCAACTGTCTGGGAGCGATGGGATAAAAAGAAGATGAACCATTTTAGAACGTTATTCTATATGGGTAGGCTTTGGAGTTTGGAAAGGAGGATATTATGATTGACTGAATCAAAAGCTTTTGAGAAGTCGAAAAGGACTAGAATATAGATTTTCTGTTTACCTATGGATGATTGGAGGTCTTAGGTAATCTTTAACAAGGCAGATTGGATGGAGTATTGGGAATGAAAACCAGATTGTAAAGAATCGAGGAGCGGGTTTTGCTTAAGAAAGTTATCCAACTGTGAGTGAACTAATCTTTCTAGATTAGGCTTGGATAAAATGGAAATGGGTCTGAAGTCGGAAGCTAATGAAAGAGCAGGGACTTCGTTTAACGGCTGGTCAATGACTTTTTTCCAGGCTTTAGGAAAAAAGGAATTTTGGAGGAAAAAATTGTTGATGTGTAAAAGTATAGGAAGTAAGGTTGGAAGGCAGAGTTTGATGATTTTCACAGGTATTTGCTCAGGACCATAGTCGGTTTTGGATTTGAGGATAGTAGAGAGTATGTCAGTTGGAGAAATATCAAGAAAATAAAACTTACCTGGATCAAAGGAGGTTTCAGTGATGGAAAAACGTGAGGGGTCAGATGTGAATACAGAAGGGAAATGATCTGCCAAAAAAGGAATTGAGCTTGTTCGGATCTAGTGGATAAAGTGTACAACTTTTGGAGCTAATGACGGAGAGGATCCTGTGAATTGTCCTTTTGGATTTAGGATTAGGTGCTTGGTATAATTCATTCTTAAAGTATTGCTCTTTGGCGTGGCGTAAGGATGTTTGCTGTTTCCTACTGATTTGAAGAAAGTATAGTGTAGGAGCAGTCGTGTAGGTCTGTATCGTCTTCTGGAAGCCTCTATTCTTCTCATTAACTCTAATTTTTTAATCGACCCAGGGAGCAGGAGGACCTCTAAAAATATCGGGGTTTTAAGAGGGATGTGATGGTTAATGAAATCAAGTAGGTTAGAAGAAAAGCATTCTGCCATGTCATCGATGAAGAAAAGGGAGTAGATGGGTTCTAAGGACACTGATAATGACTGATGGTTTTAATGGTTAGGGAATCAAGATCTCTGCTGGAAATTTGTTTGGGAATATCTGTAGGAATAATAATGTTGTATGAAATTTCGATAAGATCATGAGATGAGAGAAAGGAAACAGGATTTTGCGAGGAAGATAAGTTTAGAGGAGAATCAATGATAAATGTAACCATACTGAAATCAGTATTGTCATTTTTACGAATTTATAGCTTTGTAAGAGATGTACATGTTGTAGTAACAAATAATCACAATCGAAAGTTTACATTAGGCAGAGTCACATTCGTTTCTTTAACATAGTACCAACTATATCATTATTTTCATATGCTAATAGTAATATTTATTTATATAGCAAATTAAATTATTGCTGCTTGATTATTACATTTATTCAAAATATATTCCCTTTCTATATCAGTATCTTCAATACATAGCTATATATATTTGATAGTACTTATAGATGTCTACATTTTTATGAACTGGTATTAATATGTAGAATTATCAGTTCATTAATTAGTAAATATATGAAAAGTTAAATAAAGTATATATTTTTTAACTTCTTTACTACTGTTGCAAAGCCTTTATGTACATAGCTGGTAATTTTGAGCTCCTTCAGTAGTAAAATGATGGAAGGTACAAGCGACCAATTTTTCAAACTATGGTTAGTGGAATAAAAAAATAAATGAGAACCAATATCTAATGAAAAAATTAGTGCTTTAGATAGAGATTGTTACTAAAATGACATTCATCTGTGGAATTTTATAATTGTCTTATCACCGATATTAATTTTTGCTTGTCATATTTATTTTTAGGAGCAGAGCCATAAATCGTATCGTCCCCTATGTGTTATTACTTTTCGACTAAATTATTATCTTCAGCAACTAGATCCATATGGCTATCATATCGTCAATGTGTTATTGCATACTGCTGTCAGTTTACTGTATCTCAAGTAAGTATTTTATGTAAATAAAAAGATCAGAGGTAAACTGTGTCTTGACAATTTCTGAAGTTGCTCATATAGTAGCTTCTTTCCTTTTTCTTTACCATTTGGAAATTAACTAAGCCAGATTATTTGGAAGGTTTTTAATAATAGCTAAACATCGTCTATTCTATTATTAGGAAGTTAAATTCAATTTAATAAATTTATGTCCCTCCTGCTTTTCCATTTAATATTAACATCCTTCAGTATTACCATATCTGTCCATTAATAGATGTTTATAGAATAGACTTTTATCTCTTACCATACACTTTAATAAAATCTTTAATATATATTTTTTTTAAAGTTACCTAGATTCCTTATATTTGTTTTTATCCTTTAGATATAATAAGAGTAATATTTATAAATCATTACATTTAAACCAAATCATTAGCACAATCGCTGTATTTTAATATGACTGAGATATTTAATAGCTTATTTAAATGAAGATGTAATTATACTTTGAATAGATGATTAGGTTTTATTATTTGGATAATGACTATTTAAGTTTTTTTTTTTTTTAGATTTACTGTTTACAATTTTTTGTTTCATTTATAATTAAAGAAGTATGTATTTGTTACTTGAGGCTCTATTTAGACTCTAATTTTATTATTTATCCTAATAAAGGTGATCATATTTTGTTTTTTAAGTAGATTAGACACAGCAATTGATGTATCCTAAACTTAATCCTCTGGCTTATCTTATTCTTCCTGATCCAGGCATCTAGTATTTTGCTATTCAGGTTAGTATTTTCCCTTAGCAAATGGGAAATAAAATTTATCTTTATTTTAAAAGAAACATAAAAGGGAAAGAGATATGATCAATTTTTCTAACATATACAGATTGACCAAGGGGGAATAGTTAGTGATTGAGGAATGGATAGTTCAACAAACTGAGATACTTGCAACAATACGAGTAGCTCTAATATTTTGTTATCTTAGTTTTGCTGTCTCATACATAAGGATTGAGGGTGAGTTTAGTGAGATTATGTCTAGAAACATTTATATTATTGTTCCTCCATTAATAATTCATTACATTTGCAAGATTGAAAAAGTGTGTTCATCAGCAAAGCCATGCATAGTACCATTTATGGTTTCCATCAAAACTGAAAGCAGGTTAATATCATAAATAAACACATTCTATAGAAAACTATGGAAAATAAAAATATCTTTTTTAAACTGAAAAAAAAAGCTTCATAGTGAAATAATTTTGTTGGTATTAATTGAAACTAATAAAGAAACTGTTAAAAGTTGGACTAAACAAAGTTGAAGAGATAAACATGAGTGCTTTGCAACTTCAGTATTCTGTAAAATGTATAGTTGGGGTGGGGGTAGCTGGTTATCAGGTTCTCGGATACATCATAACTGGAAAAAAATATTTGGTACTCGTACTGTTGTAGGTATCTAACATTTTTAAACCTCTCATCCTCGATATCTCTCAGAAATTGAACTAGTTTTGTAAATTTGAATACATAGTTGGATAGCTGATGAAATATATTTTTTTGAAATCCCAACCCTTTGTTCCAACAGGTATTTCTTTTTTAGGCATACCTTGTATGTCTTAGCGAATTTTGATGAGGTTCAAATAATATTATAATTAAGTATTAAAGTTGTTTGGTTTATGCAATTTAACTTTCTGTCACATCAAAATTTCATCTGAAATTGCTGCTGCATTTTTTAAGTTAAATTCAGTAGAAGAAATATTTAAATTTGTGATCAATTTATCTTTGATCACTAATGGGTTAATCTCAAGAGTTTTTCTTGGCTCATTTAGTTTTGTTAACAACTTTTCTCTTTTTTATGAAAGTATCTTTTTTCATTACGTAAGTATTACTTTTTTATTTTACCTCCTAAAATAATTTATTGTTTCCCTCTGTATTAATTGTTTAAAAAAGAATTTGTTGTGGTGCATCATACAACATTCACTTACCACTCTGCTTTCAGCAGGAATTTTTTTTTTTTTTTAAAGTTAATAAATCCTAGAAATACTATTTTCATTATAAATACAAACTTATGGGAATTAATACAAATAATAACTTCTTTAATTCTGTGCACTACATATTTTTGGTTTGTTAAGCTGAGAATAAATTTTATTTTAAAGTTTTCCATGGTTATTTTCTATTCAATAATAAACTATATCAATAATAAGAAAAGTAGACATTATTTAATACAAAAATTAAAAATCCTTGGTTATTCATTTCCTTCTTTGACCTTATTAATTTGTATAAAATCTTTAGCTTTCCAATGGTATAATGTACACCCATAGGGTAAAATATTTCTTCTTAAGTTGCTTATCAAACTCTTTCATCTTTTCTTCTTCCACGGCACTACAACTCATGAAGACGTGTCCTTCAGGCGTCTCTATCCTGCACAGCTGCTTTCCAGTTACGTACACCAAGTAGTGCACGTGCATCCCTTGCCACACAGTTGTGGTCTTCCTACATTCCTAGAGCCTTGTTCATTGCTCTCCATAGTTTTTTTGGGGATTTCATCGTTTTGCATCCTCCCCACATGCCCTGCCTATCGCAGTCTTGCAAGCTTTATGATTCTTATGATATCCAGCTCCTTGAATAGATTATAAAGCTCTGTTGTGTGTCTAATCCTCCAATTCTGTTCATCACATACAGGACCATAGATTATGTGGAGTATCTTCCGCTCAAATAACTCTTAATACTCGCTCGTCTCCTTGCTTCTTGGTCCAGACTTCAGAGCCATACATCAGTACCGGACGAATGAGCGTTTTATAAAGCTGTGTCTTTGTGCTGCAAGAGATGAGTTTAGTTTTGAAATGCTTATTTAAGCAAAAATAGCACTTGTTTGCCGCTACTATTCTTCTATTGATCTCTAGGTTTCCTTTGTTTTCTCTATTTACCAGAGATCCCAGATATGCAAATTCATTAACTCTCTGGAACTTATTGTGCGCTATCTCCAAACTCTTTCATAGTGTATATTTATCCATTTTGCATTCCCACGGGCAATCAGAGACCTATAATTACTCCTAGTATTCAAAATTAAAGGTATTTTAGAGAAAATTTTAAAATTCAGCATTTAAGCCCGGTTAGACCATTTCAATAAGGATAAGACCTGATATTAAAAAAAATATTCAATTTTTCATTGATATAACAATTTTGACTAAACTTGTGTAAGCTGTTTTTGATAAAATTATTAAAATGTGTAAAATCAATGATATTAAGTGGCGTGTCCAGTATGTCGATTTTAGAGGGAAAAATTGCTGTAATATCCCAGACATATACATAACTGTCTTACATAGTTTCAATATCATTTCGTTATTTATAAAACATGCATTACCTTGGAAAACTCTGATGCAAAATTTTTGCAATGCTTTTCCTTATTATGTATTTCATGTATAGGTAAGTAAAATTAAAAAAAAAAAAATTATATTGGTTCAAACTTTAAACCTTCGCCCATCTGGGCCCTTTTCAAATATGGAATATGGGCCCTTTATGAAACTAATGGAAGCATTCATTCATTTTAAATGTTTATCTGTTTATGTTTCACTATATACAAACATACATATATTTTTTTCTTTTGACTTTTAGGATGTGTTCGATGTTTTTACCTGATTTACCCAGCTTCATTGCTTCCGTGCTTTTCACCGTGCATCCTATTCATACAGAAGCAGTAATTACATATTAAGTTGTTATTTATTGTTTTACAACTTATATTTATGAAATTAAAATTCAATTTATTTTATAGGTAACTGGAGTTGTTGGAAGAGCCGAGACACTATCATCTGTATTTTTCTTAAGTGCTTTCATATTTTATGTAAATGCAGCAAAAAATAAAAATAAAGTTGGTGAGTTTTATTTATTTCAGTTCAGTATTTCATTATTTTGATAAGCTTTTGGAAATTATAAGGCTGTTAAGTTTAAGTTTATCTACATGTAATGACTTCTGACTTGGATTTGTGCTCATCTTTCAACATACAATCATGATCATGTGAATATATGTCTCTTTTATTATAATCAGTTCCTGCTTTTACAACTTATTAACCTTGCTAAAATATTTTATAGAGTTTTTCCTTCTTTTTTTTTGTTCTTGCCAACTCCTCTGGAATGCATTCTGAAACCCTTTTCATGCATTATATGTTATTTTAGTTCATACTGTACCATAGACAGAACTGAATGTTTTTTATCCTCTTTCTAATAGTTCTATCTTCCACTTTTCTCAGTTACAGAATCTCCATTGCCTACCTTTTTACCTTATATTTAATTATTATTACCTTAGATTCAGTTGACTAGATAGCAGTATAAAAATTTCCTATCAAAGTTGGACTGTTGTATACTGACTAATTTTATACTATTTTATATAAATATATGTTGTAAAGAACCCTTTTTGAGAAATGTCCTTGAATAGAAGTTAATTAATATTTTATTATATAGTTGCAATCAAGAAGTTATAATATAAAAGTTTTTAAATCTAAAAATGTTTAAAAAAAATAAGCTAAAAAAATAGCCTCATAATCTCTTTAAAATATTTGTATAAAGCTTTGAAATTCAAACATATATCTAAATTAAAATTAAGCCTTATGTATTTTACTTAATCCAATTCATGTCTACCGCCTGGTGTAGTGTGATGGTTATTTCTGTAGAGCTTGATCCATTGTGATTGGTCCTGACCCAGGTCCCTCCTCCAATCCAGATTCCTGGCCTCAAATGCCTCCTTAATACCTTCCTCCAAGGTTTTCCTAGGGCCTCCTCGGCTCCTTCCATCAACTTTCAAGTCATTGGTCAGCCTAGCTTTTTTCTCAGCTGTCATCCGTGAGACATGTCCAAACCATCACAGACGATTCTCTTCCAAGGCTTCATGTAGTGATTTTAGGCCAATATTGTTCCTTATTGTGGTGTTTCTCGCCCTGTCTCTGCAGGTTTTTCCTTTAATTTTCCGGAGGAATCTCATTTCCATGGCTTAGAGTTGGCTTGTATGCTTCAGGGTTCATGACTCACTGGAATAAGATAGGATAGGCAAAAATGTTTTTAGTTTGTTCATTTCCATCATACCATGTTTTTTATTTTAATAGTTTTTCAAATTGTATAATGATTTGAATAAAAAAAAAAAATAAAGCACTGGAATAGAAACCGATCTGTTCAACTTGTTTTGGTTGGTTTTCTAGTTCCTATTGTTTGTTATAAGTTGGTTTACCTTCTCCTATTGTTAATTCTACTCACCTATTAGATCATTACCTATGAATCAGTACTGGTGGATACACTTATGTGGAAAGATGTTGTTCGCTAAAATCATGGTTTTTGCAAGACAAAATATAAGGATCCACTTTCCATTGTCCTTACTCAATTTTTACCATATTTCCGAGAGCTCCCTGATATCTGTATGGCTGTATATCTACCCACACTGCAATTGAACATCCAATTATTATAGGTGTGCCCTCACATTCCTTTAAATTTTTCTGTAAGATTTCAAAGAATGATTCTTTTTCTGATGCCAATGCATTCTCGTTGAGTCCATTGGCAACTAACAGTGAATAAACATTGTTTTCAAGTGTTACCTTAGTGAACCTTTCATTATCTGCTTTCCAGTTCTGGATAAGGTAGTTTGAGTTTTCATGAAAAATGATGCCAACTCCTCTATTGGCATGTTCATATAAACTCTCACCAAAATGCAGTAGTGTGTATTGTCCTATTTTTTTGTTCTCCTTTTACTATCTTCTTTGCTCCTATTATTCCCAGAATATCCAATCTAGCTTTCCTCATTTCCTCTTTCATCTTCAGCTCTTTAGTGTTCTCAAATCTTAATTTTAAGTACTATTTACATCAATTATTATTTTATTTCGGTTTTATGTATCTTACATTTTCTCAACTTTAATAAGGGGAAGTCACATATAGTCAGTTGTCAGTTGGTCAATGATTTTACCCAAATTATTTTGGTGGTTTCGCAATGCATAAAATAAGAGTGTTTGCTCCAATGATTCTTAGGAATCGAGAAAAAAATATTTTTATACAATTCCAACAAAAATTTAGGTTATTTTTTTCTGCATTTACTTTCTCCAGACTTCTAGCTCATTATATACCAGTTGAATAAGAAAATAATATTTCCCATACTATTAATTGAGTTATAATATATCATAAATCACAAAAAATAGAAAAAAAAGACACATTCAGGTTATTTTTTAAAATTTAGGTTATTTTTTCTGCATTTACTTTCCCCAGACTCCTAGCTCATTATATACCAGTTGAATAAGAAAATAATATTTCCCATACTATTAATTAAGTTATAATATATCATAAATCACAAAAAATAGAAAAAAAAGACACATTCAGTAAAATAGGTAAAGTAAATTGTCAATATGAAAAACGGAAGTTACATTTGTTTATAGTGTCCTTTAAAACCCTTAAATTGTAAGATAGAAATTGTAAAATACAAATACTAATACTTGATTTTTCTGAGGGTTTTTTTTTTATTTGGTGTAGTCATCTTAATTTTATCGCAAATGTGGTTCTCAAAAAAGTTTCGAGAGATCCAACCTTGACAAAAATGGTTTGTAAAACATTTGTATAAAACTACGAAAATTTGTATTTTAGGGTTTTATAAGGTTAAAAAAACTCCCATATATCTTTTTCAGTTGGTCCAATGTTCTCATATTATATATGAGAAGGAGTTAATCCGGAGGTGCGGTCAAATAAATACTAAATTAAACAGACAGTAATTATTTAATTAAATTAAATTAAGTTAAATAATTACTATCTGTTTAATTTAGTATTTATTTGACCGCATCCTCCAATTAACTCCTTCTCATATTATATCAACAGTCAACCATCTCTACATCCTCATATTATATAGTTTTCGCCTGATATAATATGTTCTCTAAACTGAACTGGTATCCACATAAAGATTTTTTGGGAGAAACTAAATTAGTATTCATTTTTCGCACCTCAAACAAACCATAAAATACAAAAATAAATTCAATAAAAAAAAGATGTCCTGTTTAACTTTTTTCTTCCAACAACCGGTTTTGGTCTTTAATCAGACTTTATCAGGCTAAATAAAATAATATAATTAACAAAAACAAAAATTTACAAAACAATCTATTTTGTTGTATTCTATATTTATACTTCATGTTTTGTTATACATGAAAAAAAGAAATCAATTGGTTTATAATAATCTAGAAATCTGGGCAAAGCAAATGCAGAAAAAAAAAAAAAAACCTAAAATATTTTTTATATTGTCTAAAATAATTGTTTTTCTTGGTTTCTAAGGCTCATTAGAATGAATGCCACGGCATGTGTTCTATTGTGGTATCAGAGTCTAATATTTTTCATTGTGATATTGTCTGAGCTTATTGATCTACTGTGACCTCACCTTGTCATTTCCCTGAAAGTATGTTTCATCACTGATCTCATTTTGGACTAATTTTTTATTGCATTTTCTCTTCCCAACATTTGTGATAATAAGTGAATAAGCCCCAAGTATTTGAACTCAAATATAGGTTGAAAACCCACATTTTATGAGTGAAAGTCTTAGAAATAAAATTCAACCAATACTCAGGCAAATATAATAATTTTAATTATCATGTCTGCTAGGTTTACTGGATGAGAAACCAGAAAATGTATGTATATTTCAGATTTTTAATGATGTAGCTTTGTTTTTTTCAGGATGGCAATCACTTTCTATGACAGTTATATGTATTATATCAGCTATGTTGTGCAAAGAACAAGGTATCACTATGACTGCTATATGTGCTGTTTATGAAGTATTTGTAAGACAAAAAGTGAGTACAATACAATTTTTCTTTATTAATTATTAAAATCTTTTAAAAATATGAATTGTTTGTTGTTCTTAGAATGCTGTGTGTGCTATATTCAAGTATATTACAGTTGTTTTTCTTTTATCAGTAATTGTATCATGAACTAATATAATCAACTACTTTCATTTTAGTACCTTAATATTAATTATTATGAAACAGATATAATAAAATGAAACAAGTGTTATAGGCAGTTGTGAAAATCTCCTTTCAGGCAAATTGGAACATGTGAGATGACTTAACACAATCACACCGCTTCTATCCCATTGGGAAACTCATATTGCAAAGCACTTGTTCCCTAATTTTCACTTAGTAGACCTAGTATTTTATTGAAGTTTTTTACAAATTTCAAAATGAATAGTTTACCAATAATACTAGATTTACCTTTTTTACCAATAATAGTTTAATAGATTTGAGCTTAGAGTCTGTATCAGATTGTACTGCTGAATATGAGCTCAATTACTCATGCAGTTGAATGCAGTAATTCAACATCCAAAAAATTTAAATTCCATTGAGCTACTCTATTGTTGAAAACTTGGTTCTGTTATACCAATATTTAAGTTATACATCACTAAAATTTCTTGAATTTGAACAATCTCATTTGGCTATTTGATAATAATTTTACAAATGGGATTCTGGAGTTTACTTAGCTGGACCTAATCAAATATTACATCATTACATATTACATTGACAATGCTCTGATATATCCTATACTAATTTATATAATCTAAATATCAAAGGATTCTTCCTATTGTCCTATACAGCCACTGGATGAAGGTGGATAAAGAAGTTTAAATTTTATCATATGAATTGATGATTGAAAGGTAGCTAGTCAAAGATAAAATATGAAATGATAAAGATTGTAATTTACAGTTCAAGTTTATAAGTGTAAACATATTTCCAACCATCAAGGAATTACAATCCTTTCCTAATCTATGAATATTTAATTATATTTCAGACATAGTTACAGTCTTTTTGTTGATATTTAAAAGTTTATTTTACTTAATTATTAAGTCCAATAAAGCTTTTAGTTTTCCATAACTTTAAGCCCTTTCCATTTTAATAATATTCTTCCATAATTTATTTTATTTAAAAATTAAAAGTTTTATTTAGAAGAAAAATACCATTTTAAACCAAAAAATTGGTTTATTCTTTTTATGTATATAATGAAGTTTCCAGTTTTGTTAGACTATACAAGTTTTATTTAATCTATGTGATGTTTTTTCCAGATAAGACTCAATGATCTTATGCAGTTGTTAAAATGGATATTAAATGGAAAACCAATAAAAAATACATGGCCATCTGAGGCAACAAAACGGTTATGTGTTCTGACAGTATCTACTATTGCACTCCTTTTCTTGAGGATTTTGATCATGGGAGCAAAGCTACCCATTTTCACGAGGTTTATAATTGCCTTAGTTGTTATAAATTTAAGCATATTGATTTTTAATGTTGCTGGGTCTGCAAAAGTCAGATCATTCTGATTAATATGCGACTCAACATCTGAAATGGATCATTATTATAACCTTTAAAATATTTTATTTATATAAAAGAAAAAAAAAATTAAAGAAAAATGGAGAGACGAAAAATTGGATATGATTGGAAAATCATAAAAACAAAGTTTTAAGTTTGTAAAATAGCATCAAACAACTAACTAGTATACGTTTCACCAATTCAGATATCATTTGTACAGAATAATACGAGATCTCCTAATTACATACAAAATAGAAATAGGAACATAACTTTATTTTGGGACGAAGTTCCTTAAGAATAACAGAAAAAAAAATTACAGCCCATAATACTTTTTTTTTAGAATGTTGATGTAAGATTTTTTTTTTTCTGGTTTTGTTTTTCTTGTCCTGATTATGATATTGGTGAAACATTAACTTGTTATATTTTAGTCATATTTTAGATTCTTAAATATATTTTTTAATATGATATTATATTATTATTATTATTAGAATAGTGTTTTTTTCTGTTTGTGTATTGCAGGAACTTAGGATAAATTAATTTAAAAAATACATTTATTTATTTTTTAAACTTTTTTTTAGATTTGATAACCCTGCTTCAGCAGCTGCAAGTCCTACTCGCCAATTGTCATATCATTATCTTATTTCATTAAATTCATGGCTGCTACTATTTCCTTGTGATTTATGTTGTGATTGGACAATGGGTAGTGTTCCTCTCATTTCATCTTTTATCGACCCTCGCAATATTTCAACAATTATTTTGTACTTGACATTAATAACCTTGGCACATGCTGCTTTGAATTGTAACAATAAACAGAAAGAAGTAGTCATAATCATGGTAATTTCAACTTACTACATTTTTATATTTCCTAACGATGTAATTTTTAATATATTGCTGTCTTAATTTTTTCTTTTATTAATTTTGTTTCAGGGTTTAGCATTTATGGTTTTTCCATTTCTTCCTGCATCTAATATATTTTTTCCTGTGGGATTTGTTATAGCAGAAAGGGTCCTTTACATGCCTTCCATGGGATTTTGTATTTTAGTTGCATATGGCTGGTTTCATTTATATATGAATAGGTAATCAGTTGTTAATTATTATTGCTACTTGTCTATTTATTAACTGTTATAAATTGATTATGACCAATGTCGAGTTCTTCTATCAATATATTTTTTTAATTGTATGTGAATATTCCTGTTCATTAATTTATAATTTTTAGATTTCGGAAACTTTCATGGATAGGACTCACTATATTATTGTTTTTTCATGGTGTCAAAACATACCGAAGAAATTGGGATTGGGAAACAGAATACACCTTATTCATGGCCGGTTTACGTGTTAATCAAAGAAATGCAAAACTTTTCAACAATGTTGGTCATGCATTAGAATCACAAGGGAAATTTCACGAGGCCTTGCAGTTTTTCAATAAGGCAGTTAGGTATGTATATCAAATTTTATATTGCATATTTTAGAGGTATCAAATTAGAATTTTTATCCATATTATTTGATTTTACTTTAATGTGTATCTTTATTTGCTCAACGAGGACTTTTAACCTGCTTTTATATTTATTTTGAGTATAAACTCTTAAAAAATTGTATTATATTTTATTAATACCTATTAATAAATAAATGAACATAATGAATTGTAGATAAATAAAAGTTGATCTATTGATATAATTAAGCTACACTTGTAAGCAATATAACTAAATAATAACATTAAAATAATAGAAAGGTAACACTAATATATGAAAAACATTCTTTTTTTTCTCTTACACTGTTTGGTCACGACTCTTCCATCGTAAGACCTCTTGCAGCCCAATAAAGTTTTGCCAATTTCGATTGATTAGTATCGCTAGAAGAGAAGTTCTGTGTTATTTTTTCTTATTATGGCCATTGGTGCTCAAACTGATAATGATAGTTTACGAGTTACAGAGGATGGCTGTTCCAGAGATATATATAGACATTATCATTTTAATAGCTTTTACCACAGCATAGATTTCTCCATCAAAGTAACTGGCAAGGCAACCAATAGACGACGCAAGAGACTGCAGTTCCAAACACAAGCACTCCTCTTTTTCGTCTTGCTTCAGTGGCTGACCCATCTGTGTATACCGCAACCATTCTTCTTTCTGTGAATGTGTAAAGTTTCCAATGCGAAACCTTGAGTTCAGTGAGAGATGTATTTTGTTTGAAGAAATGTGATATCAACATTGTATAATAATCGGTTGGGTATCGTGAAAACGTCTTTTGAATTGATTGGAATGGTTCGGGATTCTGAAGGGCCAGGGTCAGGCTGTATTCATTTTTCAATGATTCCACTTTGATAAGGAACGAGGTTTGAGTGACCAGTCAGCCAGCACCAGGTGTATACATTTCCAGAACTCAATCTTGTTCCGCTGAAGGCATTCACTCAAAGTTAAAGCAGTCTGAGCAATTCTCGTCTGTAATGCTGTGGTTAGTTCCAGTCTGCTGGACTTAGCGCCACCTGTAATAGTCCTAAGTGCATATTATGTCAAGTTTTTTAACGGTTGATGCAGAAGCAGTCACCAACAGCTCAATTCCGTGATCCATTGCCGGTCTCACATAAGTGTTATAGGTGAGTGTATGCATGTCTTGAAAGGCTCCTGATTTGGTTCCTGTTAATCTTCTCAGTAGGCCCAACCTCTTGGCTGCTTTTAATGTATTACTTTCTACATATGCATTTCAGCTTGAAATTTAGGTTTGTCTTCTTTAATATATTATTTATTGATAGTGAGATATCAATTAATCGATATAATAAAAAGCTAGTACTCCTCCTTCATTGTATTTATCTCCATCTCATTTTGCCTTGACCGGTCTGAGAGATGTCCTTTGACTCGAGAGCAGGAATATTACTTGATGTTACTCAAATAGCCAACTCATCTGCGTATAGCAATGCTCATAAGACTATTGATAGGTTCATTGACTCATAGGATGCCATGGATACCACAGATATCACATCATCAATCATTATGTTGAAGAGGATTGGGCTTAAAACTGAATCCTGTGGAACATAATTTTGCGTTTGTCTGAAAGTTGAGGTTTCGTACTGGTAATGTACTCTTATGAATCTCAATACTAATAACGATTTGAGTCAGGTGAACAGTCGACCTTTGAGCCTTATTATAAAAAGTTTATGTACCAGCAGCACCTAATAAATTCTGTTAAAAATGTAGTCTTAAAGTCAACATATACAGCTCTGCTTACGATGGTACCCATACTTAATTTCTTGAGTTAAATTCCAAAACAAGATACCATACATGATAATATAATAATAATAAGGCTTAGCGAACTCGAAGGTTCGATGCCGACACCACCAATCGCTTGTTACACACCTCCCTCCACCGTTCGCCGTCCAAACCCCCCAGTCCTTTCAGATCGGCTTTAATGCAATCTTCCCACCTTCGCTTCGGTCTACCCCTCGGACGCTTACCATTCGGCACAGCAAATATTAACCTTTTAGGAATTCTCTCGTTACTAAGCCCAACAACTTTACAAGCCCATTTGATTCGCCGCGATGAAATTACCTCAATTATATTACCCGGATACAGCTCACGCAATTCGGCGTTGTGTAACCATCTGAACTCTCCGGTTAACTCATCCTTCTTCGGTCCGAATATTCTACGCAATACTTTATTTTCAAAAACCTTAAGACGCTGCTCATCCCTTAATGTAAGCGGCCAAGTTTCGCATCCATAAAGAACTATAGGCAAGATAATTGTTTTATAGATTCTAATTTTTAAGTTTCGGGACAAGAGGCGCGAACTAAGTAGTTTTGTCACAGAAAAATAACAAGCATTCCCCGCCTTCAGTCTAACCTTAATCTCTTCTTCAATTTCGTTTTTTCTAGTTATCGTAGAACCTAGATACCTAAATTTATCTACCTGTTCAAACATATTACCATCTATATCGATATCACCAGTATTATCGCCATTTTTGCAGCTAACCATATATTTTGTTTCATCCACGTTTATTTCGAGTCCTAGTTTTTTACCGGCTTTCATTAACGTTGTCGTATTTAGTTTTATAGTTTCAACGTCTTCGCTTAACATTACCAGATCATCCGCATAGCCCAGCACGGATGTTGTCCCACCCAGATCTAACCCTTTCTCGGTACGCATTACCTCCCTAATGGCATGTTCTAATGCCAAATTGAACAGGACAGGCGAAAGAGAATCTCCCTGTTTTAAGCCCGAACGAACCTCAAATTTTTCAGACAAATTATTACCGATTCTAACTTTATTGAGTGTCTCCGTCAAGCACATCCTGACTAGATTTACTAGTTTTTTTGGAATCCCCTGCTCGATTAGAATATTATACAGTTTCTGGCGGTCAATAGAATCGTAAGCCTTTTTAAAATCTATATACAGCTGGTGAACAATACCGTTATACTCCAATTTTTTCTCTAATATTTGCCGTAAAGAAAATATTTGATCAATAGTCGAACGATTCCGTCTAAATCCGCATTGGTAGTCTCCGATAATTTCCTCGGCGTATTCCGTGATTCGATTGGTTAAGATTAAAGTGAATATTTTATAACATACCGGAAGGAGTGAAATTCCTCGATAGTTATTACAATCCGTCCTCGGACCCTTTTTGTGAATCGGAATAAGAATAGATTCTTTCCATTCTTCAGGTAATTTCTCGTTCACCCAGATCTTTTTAACCAACCGATGTATTTTAGAAACTCCAGCTTCCCCGCATGCCTTAATTAGTTCAGTAGGAATATTATCGATTCCCGCTGCTTTATATGATTTTAATTTTCCGATAGCTACTTCAACTTCCTCTTTACTTGGTCCTTCTATTAACGGTTCAGCACTCTGGTACTCAGAAGGAGGACACAGATCATAATTTCCCGTATTTAAAATATTGTCAAAGTGGTCCTTAAACTTATTCAATATGTCAACCGGATCGGTCAGAATATTGTTATTATCATCCCTAATTCCAGACGTTACGGGCCCTACATATTTACGTGATCTGTTTATACCTTTGCATATGTCTCTTAAGTTATTTTCGATTCTATTAGTTTCTATTTCAATTATTTTATTTTTAAGATACTCCCTTTTTTTATTTTTGAGCAATTTCGTCGTTTCGTTCTTTGAGATTCGGAAGTATTCCAGATTGTCTTCGCTAGGATTATTTAGAGCTTTTAATTTAGCGGCTTTTCTTTTTTCACACATGTTTAAGCAATCTTCATCAAACCACGGTTTGTTATTCTTATTTTCCTTTTTTCCTAGGCACGAGTTACCGACCGCTTTAATATTATCTCTGATCTCTATCCATAACTTGTCAATATCCTCGTGGTCCTCGTCAGGAAGCTCTAAAGCTTCAAACCTATTCTTAACATCTAGCTCGAATTGGTTTCTAATTGATGGTTTTTTTAATTTTTCCAAATTAAAATTCTCAAAATCGAAATGGTTTTCTTTTCTCTTTTTTATATTAAGTTTTTGTCGAAGTTTCGCGATTACTAATTCATGATCTGACCCACATTCTGCTCCGCGATAAGACCGTACATTAATTATACTGCTTTGCCAGCTGTGTTGTATCAAGACATGATCGATTTGATTTCGTGTTTGCGAATCCGGTGATGTCCAAGTATATTTATGAATATCCTTATGTTTAAATGTCGTACTTTTAATTATCAGGTTTTTCGAGATGGCAAAGTTTATCAGACGGATCCCATTATCATTACTATATTCGTGCAAACTTTCTTTACCAATCGTCGGAATATAAACTTCTTCCCTTCCTACCTTTGCGTTCGCGTCACCTACAATTATTTTCATGTAGTTTCGCGGTAGTTTATCATAAACCCATTCGAGTTTATCGTAAAATTCACTTTTGACTTCATCGTCACTGTCTTCGGTCGGACAATGTATGTTTATTAATGCGATTTTAAACCAACGTCCCTGAAATGTAGCTACCGAAATTCTATCACTAAAGAATTGTACGTCCCTCAAAGCGGATAGTAATCTACTCCTAATTAGAAACCCGGTACCTAAACAATGATTCCCGCTTCCTCCGTACCAAATAGTGTACTTCCCTTCCCTCATCGAGCCCTCCCCTGGCCAGCGAACCTCTTGCAGAGCCACGACATCCAAATTGTACCCATTTACCTCATTCGCGACCGATTTTAGCCCCCCTGCTGTGTTTAAACTCCTTATGTTCCACGTACCAATATTTAAATCCCTATATTTCAACTTGCGCCATGAATCCCCTAAAGCAGTCCCCACCCGGAGACCCGAACGGGGGACTAGTTTACCTCCGGATAATGAGCGTTTTACCTTAGGGAGATCCATCACTTTTTGTGGTGTTTGGTGAACTAAAGATATGTGAGTAGGGCGTTCAATCCTACGTCACACCCTCCAGCAAGTCTGGTGGGCCCCTACCTCCAGCAAGTCTGGAGGTCCCCTCCCTCCAGCAAGTCTGGAGGGCCCCTCTCATTGTTGGTCAGCGAGTCTATCGGACTTAGCCGGGAGGAACTTCCAAGGAATTTCCACCGACCATCCCCACATCCGCCACCCGTGTGACGCTCCCCATACGTGGTAATGAGCCCGCGCGAGGACCATACATGATAAAGGATTTTTTTTAATGAAGCAGTTCTTTGAGAAGGAAATAGCGGTTTACGATCTAGGATCTTGTTTAAAGAGGTGACGGTAGAGAAGTTAACAAATCATTGATGTAAAGAGACTTTTTTTTCTTAAAAGAACTCGTAAAGGTATATATCTAGGAAATATTGCCATCAGAAAATCCAGCATATCAACTGGTTGACAGTGTACCGTATACAATGCAGCCATAATCAAAGTGGGGGAAATTAGAGAAGAAACTAGGAGTTGATTGGTTTTAAGAGGTAATTAATATTTTGAATGTAGCAATAGATTTTCAGGTAATATTATGTGAAGGATCACTAACGTTATTTTTTTTAAACTTGTGGGAAGTTTTTTTTCCCCTTTTATTTATGATATCCATAAAATTTAAATAAATTTAAGGTATATAGTTGTAACAATCAATAACAAAAAATAAAAAAGTCATTAGAAATATTATGTTCATCTATCTAGAAATATTTTGAATTAAAAATTTCTAATGTCTTCTGAATAAAACCTGTTTGTTTTTTTCATTAGAAGTATTCCCCTAATTATTTATGTCATATTATTTCAATAATTACATTTAAGTTTTTGATGGATCTTTTTTATATTCATTTAATTTGAGCTGAATGTTTGTTTTGTTCAGTGTTCAACAAGATGATATTGGGGCTCATATCAATGTCGGAAGAACTTATAACCATCTCAATATGTTTAAAGAAGCTGAAGAAGCCTACTTGAAGGTATGGTTCCTCAATCAATATTTTATTTTACAAATTGGGTGTTATTACATACAGGCTGTTCCAGGAGGAAGTATTATTAAATAAGGAGGATATAGTGTTCTAAAATGTAGTTCAGTGCCATCAACCATACAATCAGATCTGAATCCGTTTTTGGGATATGATTTTTTAAATGGTCTTTAAGGAAAAACACGTTTTTTTCATAAATATCCAAATTTCTGTACTCTAATTGAATATTCTCAACTTTTACCACCATTTTTGATATCTACAAAGAAAGGCTTGTAAGATAACAATCAATTTGCTGGAAAATATAACTTCTTTGGGCAATCAATGCAGCCTAAGGAATTTTAACCAAGAGAAAATGGATAGTTTTCAGAAATACTTGGTGGAATCTCATGCAATGAGTTTTAAAGCAAAAGTCTTGAATATTTCAAGATGAAAAGTTATTTTATTTCATAAGTTTTTCAACAGTATTCCCAACTAGGCAAAGCAAGTGTAATTTTGAAGATACATTGTGATTGGGATGTCAGAAAATATTAAGACACCTCCAACATTACAAGTTTTTCTTGAGGTATGATGGATACGAAAATCTGATGACCAACCACCCTCAACTCTATATTGGTAGAAAATTGAAGCTGTGTAGGGTTTACATTTATGCCTCCAATAAGAAGGCCAGTGTTGTTAGCTCCAATATTTGCTAAAAAAAAAAAAAATTACCATTATGAGGTTTTATTTTTTTCAGTTTAGCAGTAATATTTTTATATTCCATCGTTTTGTGGTACACTGTGATGAGCATTTGTTAAAGTTATTTTCCTTTATTTTTTCTTGTTTGTTGGAAACACATTTGATGTTATGCATGATTTAGTCAATGTGCACACTTTTTTCTATCTTACCATGATAATGGATTATTATTAGAGAAACAATAGCAGGGATTCCAAATTTTTGTAGTAGTAGTACACTTTCAACCCTTGTGTATGAAATATCAAAATTTGGACAAAGAATACAGGGTAAGAGCTTGTATTTTCGGTGTTTAATGTGTTTTAATCTCTCAACATCAATATCTCTTCAAAATTAGAGCAGTATCATAAAGTTGGATATGCCATTGGAACGCTGATGAAATAAAGATATTTTTGTAAAATCCCCAAAGCTGTTGCTTGATATTTTATAGTGTGATATTCCAATTGAGTATTTCTGAAAATTATTCATTTGTATGTATTCATTTCTCTTTGGCTGCTACCTGACCTTCCAATATTTTCCCAAAAATTTGTTGTTACCTTATAAAAAATGTGTCGTAGATTTTGAAAATGTGGCAAAAAAATGAGAAATGTTTTGTTACATTAGACAAATTAAGATATTTATAAGGAAAAAAACACAGTTTATTGGATTACCCTTTACAAAATCATTTCATGATTGGTGACACTGAACTGCATTTTTGGCAGACTATATTCACCTCTATAACTGACATTGCTTCCTAAGATAACCTTTGTTTCAACATAGTACAATTCGTAGAAACAGATCTGAAACTTTATTTTCTATGACATTATATACAGAATAGGTTCTTTTAAAAATATTTAAGTAGTAATGTTTTTCTTTAACATCTTGACTGCCACCTGATTATGTCAAAATGAGCACCATTTACTACCTTATTTATTTTTTATTACTTCTTCATATGTATTTTGGCTTTGGCTCTCTCTATTCTCTTCAGGAACCCCATTTCCATTGCTTGAAGTTAACTTTTGTGCTTAGAGGTGGTCCAGGATTCACTGACATAGATACGTATGGAGATGAATGTATTTGTACAAATAGTTTTCTTTACCATTTTAGTTACTTATCTCTTTCCCAAGAGGCCTGATTTTTGTGAATAGCAGTATTTGCTATCCAGTTTTATTCTTTCCCTAATTCTTCAGTCTATCCAGCCGTTCTCATTTAGATGGGCCTCTAAATACTTGCTATCTCTGACATGCTTCAGTTCTTCTCTCTTCAATTAAAGTACTCGGTGTTCTCTCTCCTGTATATATCCTCATTATTATTTCTTTTTTTTTTTTTTATATTACTTCATACTTCTATAATTAACAACAGTAATTCTTCCTGGAGGATTTAGAATTGTATTAGTGGTTTCTTCCATTGTTCCTGAGGAGAAAAAATTATCAAAATGTATTTTCTGAAAAACTGGGGCACTTCAATTGAGCTCAAAACACAGTGCAGTACTGTTTGTTGATCAACAGTAGCTAATCAATAAATTTAATAAAATATAAATAAAAATAATATTAATATCAAATTTTGAAAAGGCATTCAAGTGCCCAATGAGAGATAAAAATTGCTGATATAGTACATTTTTTAAAATTAAAATAAGCCTCTCTACAAATATAATGATTGAATATATAATGGTAAATAAAAAAATTATACTTCCTTACAATCCTTTGCTTTTGCTGTTATGGCTATAATATCTTAGGAAAATGATGTGGACTATGGCTATGTCTTAAAAAAATTACAATGACTCAAAGAATGTTGCAAATATTAAGAAGGTTAAGTTCATGCTGAGTAGTTCTGGAGAGAGAACTGTCGAAGGAGAGGTACTGCTGGGGTAGGGAGGATATGTATATGACCCTGGCACACAAGGCAGTTAAATCAGTGCCGTGGTACATAATGTGTTAACTAATAGGTTTTACTTTTTTTTCTGTCCTTTTACTATTTATTTGTTTTTATGTAAATGTAAAATATTTATTTAATTTATAGCTTATAAGACTTAATTGACTTAATATTTTTCATTTGTATTTCAGGCTAAATCACTTTTGCCAAAAGCTAAACCAGGCCAAAGTTATCAAGCAAGAATAGCTCCAAATCACTTAAATGTGTTTTTGAATTTGGCTAATTTAATTGCGAAAAATGAAACTCGTCTTGAAGAAGCTGATTTATTGTACCGTCAAGCCATTAGTATGCGTGCAGATTATACTCAGGCTTATATCAATAGAGGTGATGTTCTCCTGAAATTAAATCGCACAAAAGAAGCACAAGAAGTCTATGAACAAGCTCTGTTTTATGACAGTAATAATCCTGATATATATTATAATGTAAGTATACTCATATGGCAAGATTGTACATTTAATAAGAGTTGATTTAAATTAAAATGTTTATTATTGCAGTTGGGTGTCGTATTTCTGGAGCAAGGTAAAGCTTCACAAGCTTTAGCTTACCTTGATAAAGCTTTAGAGTATGATCCAGAGCATGAACAAGCTTTGCTTAATTCTGCCATACTTCTTCAGGAATTGGGTAGAGTAGAACTAAGAAAACTTGCTCGTGAACGTCTTTTGAAATTGCTTCAAAAGGTAAATTATTTTAGGCAAACAGTGCTAAATAAGGAAAAGCTTTTAAATAAAAAAAAAAAAATAGATTTATAAAAATTTTTAGTAATATTTTTTTTCTTCCTCAGGATGTAAATAATGAAAGGGTTCACTTTAATCTCGGAATGTTAGCTATGGATGATAGAGATATTTCTGGTGCTGAAAATTGGTTTCGTAAAGCTATTGAAATCAAACCTGACTTTCGATCTGCTTTATTCAACCTAGCATTACTTCTTGCAGATGACCATCGACCATTAGAAGCTGCTCCATTTCTTAATCAACTAGTTAAATATCATCCTGATCATGTAAAAGGACTTATCCTTTTAGGTGATATTTATATAAACAATATTAAGGATCTTGATGCTGCTGAGAATGTAAGACTTCTAATGATTTTCCTTCTCTATTTTGCATCATTTCTTATATAAAAAGTAGAAAATTATGTAATTATTTTTTCAATATCAATTTAAGGATATGGTTTTCTGTATTATTATTTTCTGTTTAATTGATTTTCTAAATATTTGTTAGAAGATTTTTATAAATTTTGCTGTCTATACTTTTCTGAAAGTATCCACAACATGTCCTTTCAAAATGTATTCTAGGTTTTCATGATAATTATGATTTTGAAACAGTAGATATTATGATAAACAATCAATTTATGGTGCAGTTTCTAATATTTTAGTTGCCTGAAATGTTTCAGTAATGTACAAGTAATTTGAATACAGTTAAACATCTCTATATCAAACTCTCATAAATGAAACCCAAAGTTACATTTTTAAAAATGTAACTATCATCAAAAAGGTCTCTTATTTACGTTCATAAGAATGGATAATTAAATAAGAAAAAAAATGTAAGAAAAATTTACTTAATAAAAGATATAAAATGTGGAATAAAATTAAATATCTGGTAAAAAATATGAAGTACGCTATCAACAATTTACAAAACCTTAATTTGGTTAGAAAACAGAAAGTTTTTGAGGAGACTGGACAAAATTTAATCCCCTAAGTTTGAGAAAAATCAGTGAAGAGGTGTCAAAATATAAAACATATAATATCATAAAAATTACCTTTGATACTTCTTTAACTTTAATAATTGTAGTTATTTCTAGTATAGGAAGGATACAAATTGCGGTTTTGTATATGGAAATTACTGTGTATCCAATTTGTATCAAGGAACCTTCATGTTTGATAAATAGATAATCTACTGTATGTTGAAAGAGGCAATTAAAAAAAAAAGAGTAATTAATTAACTTAATGCTTTTTATTGTTTTTTATTTTTCCTATAATATACCTGTTTAGAAATATTTATAACTAATACCTGCTTCAATCGTCATTATGGTATATTGTAATGTAACACTGGTTTATAAGTAATAAAATTAGTATGTCCTCTAAAAATTGAGTATTAGTTCATTTATTAACATTAGTTTTGTTATATTATATTCTAATTTGTACCATATTGATTAACTCCCTCAATATCTTCCCAGCATCAGAAAGATATTACAGTGTATTACTTCCTCACTTATTTTTTGGATATATTCTATTCCCTTGAATATTAAAATTCAGGATTAAGTTTATTGCTGAAACACTTTATCATTTTCTTAATAATCTTTATAATTATATTACTTTTTTAGTACTAATTAGAAAATTCACATTTTTATTATAATACTGATCACAATTTTTAGTTTTTCATCTTACTACTACTTTTTTTTTAATTGCAGTGTTATAGGAGGATTTTAGAACTTGAACCTGAAAATATACAAGGTGTTCATAATCTTTGTGTGGTTTACGTTGAGAGGGGATTGTTAGAGAGTGCAGAAGAATGCCTAAAGAAAGCTCATAAATTAGCTCCTAAAGAAGATTATGTTTTAAGACATCTGACAATTGTCCGAAATAGAATTGCTTTAACAAAGGTAATGAAAGAATAAATTTATTTTTATATACTTTTTTTACTTATGAGTTGAACATTCATTTATTATCTGTTTTTTCCTTTTTTTAGAGGTATGAAATGAGGCATACTTTTACATTTTTAATAAGATACTTCATAAATGTTTGTACTGCATTAAGTTTCTTTTAAATTTCAGTCGATATGTTGTATAGATCATTCATCATTTATCGCTACTTTAATTTGAAACTTCCCGGGGTTTCAGTTATTTTCATCTAATTTTTAAGTACTCAACTCCGGATTATTGACATTTTTCAATACACATCTTAGCAAATAAAATTTGAATTACTTGATCAAGACCTTAAACTTCCAAATCATGTTGCTTGGTCTATACCTGTGCAACTCTTTATGAATGTAATAAACATAGATTATATGTTATATCTATTAACATATATTAAATATATCTGATTAAGATATAATATATTTTTCCTTTGTTTACACATTTCGGTTGTATCAAATTTAGATATGTCAATAATTTAATCTACACTAGTAAACCTGCATTGTTTTTACAAAAAGCTATTAATTATTTCCATATTCTTACATATGAAATTAAGATGCTTCTTAGATGAAAAGAAGTGTCTGATTTCAGTATTAATATATTAAATTTAAAAATGGCTTGCATAACTGATAATGTTAATATAACTAAACCATATATATATATATATATATATATATATATATATATATATAAGGTTAATTTATCCTTTTTTCATTTCCTATTTGTCACATTTCATTGATATCCAACTTAATTCAAATTTTTAAAAATCTCTATCCATACAACCCCTAAAGAGTATTGGGTTTAATACTTGGTTAGGAAGTAAAGTTTATTGATAAATGTTTATGAAAGGAGGCTTATCACCTCAAAATCATGCTCATCCTCAGATTTTTCATTAATTAAAAGTACCAGCTTGTGTAGCTGTAGAGATATATATATATTAATTAAATTAAGAATGAGTCCCCAAAAAATTTGCCTTGTTTCTGCCTTCTTTCTTCTCCATATTAATTATGTTCATAAAAGAATACACTCAAAACTGTAATTAATAAAATATAATGACTCTGGGTAAGACAAAGAAAGTTAAGTATCGTAAATTGTTTAGGAAGTTGTGTTGTGGCAATGGTAGCAATATTATTAGGTAGATTTATCTTTTATTTAATTTTTGTATTCTACTTAAAATACAATTTTTCGTTTCAGAAAAATGGCGTACAAAGCAGTTCAGAACAAACTAATCATGTATAGTAAAACTTAATTCTGTGATTTGTGTTTCCTCACTTAATTTATTTTCATATTTAAACATCATTGATTTTTCATTTTTAAAACTAATTTAAAAATAAACGAACAAGTACATCAATGATTATTTTAAAGAAATGCTCATGCAAAATCTATTTGTGACTCATTACTTGACAATGTATATAGAATGGATTTATTCATTAATTAAAGGAAAAGAAGGTGCAGAAAATTAAAAAAAAAATTGTAAATTTTATCTTTGTAAAATATTTATAAATCCTTGTATTTAATTGAAAGTATATTTATAGGTAAACACTTTTTATATTGAAGTAATATTAATAAGTGATTGATTGTTATTTTTTTTTATATATAAATATATCTAAAGTTCTTGTTGATCTTTCTTTCTTTTGGTTTATTTTACCTAATTATACCTCAGGAATATTCTATGGAGATTTTTTTGTTACCTGTACTGTTTGGTCAAATTAATTAATTTGTAATGTTAAAATACTATGGGGTACAATGGAGATGTGCATATATAATTTTTAGATCTGGTTGATTTTTCTATAAGACTTATAAGTCTTGTGACATAAAATCTTAACTAATTGATTTTGAAAAACTTAGTATCTATGGTACATTGTTAAACATCTAAGCATTCAAGAGACTCAAGAGGGGTCCTTCCTATCTGTAATTAATATTAGTTTTTATTCACAGTCAACTATTTATATTGCCATGTGTGATAGATTGATAACTGAGTCTTGGTCATCGATCATCCATAATATGTAGAACAGTCAGCAAACATGCGCCAATTATTTATGTCAACATGTAATTTTTTAAGTGTTTAAAATTTTGGATATTATAAATTTAAAATTTTTCCTCAGCTACCTTGTTGCAAAAAATAAAAATGGACAAAAACAAGTAGTATAGGTAGTACGATGCTTATATATAGTTTAATCCCAATGCAAAGATGCACAAAAGAACTATTGAAATAATATTTCCTTTTACTCGTGCAAAACAAATGCTAAATGTTCATAAAAATGGAAAAAGAACTTGTCATTCCAATATGTATAAATATCATTGTTAATAATATAATAATTATATGCCTATATACAGCTTATATTATAATGTAAACATATACAAATCTGGCTTAGTAGCGAATTGTGCCTGGTTGAGCATCTATCCAAGAGGCACAAACATTGCTTAGAAACCAAGTGGTAATATCTCTTTGCTTTATCCCTCCAGGCAACAGAAATGTTTCTTCTGGTGTCTTGTAATGCAGTTTTTCTTTTCAAAAGTATCAAAAACCGGCAAATGCATATATTGATTATCATTTCTCCACTCTTACTAAAATTTAACTTTGCAATCTCTGTTTGTGGAATATACAATGATAACGAAAGACTGGAAGAGGAATTGTTTAACTTACTTATAGGTGTAGAATAATAATTTAACCCTTTATAAATTTAGAAAAATATATTTATTATTTATAACATTAAAAGTCCTTTTTTTTTTACATTTAAACACAATCACAAAATCAAAATTAAATATACACATTGTAAATTTAAAAAATAAATATAACTAACAACCAACATTTAATAATCATTATTAGCCACTTGAAATGTCTTAAGAGTCCTTTTTTTCAATCAATTTGCTCTACCTTATAAAAAATCCTTTCAAGGGGCACTGGAACTTGATAGTATATGTTTAAGAACCAATTAATTAAACCACTTTAAGACCTAAGTATACAAATTTAGCCATTGCAATAAAAACAAATTTTAGTATGAGAAGAAGTTTATCAGGAGTGCGGTGAATATATAATACTAATCATATAATAGTATTTTCCAATGTTTTGATCTACGGTGTAGGTCTCTTCATGGCTAAAAAAGATACAAACGATAATTATTAGTTGGTACAAAGTACAATAAATGATAAATAAATATATGTTGATATTAAACTAATGCAGATTTGTAGAGAAATAAATTGTGGAGCTCATAAGACAGCAAGTGATGTATTAAATTACAGCATCTTTAGAAATACAGCGCATTATATATTGCTAGATTATATATTATCTATGTAAAATATTTATCAATGTGATGAAAAATAAAAAAATGAATTTAGCGTGTAAGTTATAATGTAAATAAAGTTGTGATAATGTAGAATGTTAGAGTATACATAAATGACTATTGACATTCAGTTTATTTGATAGTGGTAATGGAATATTAGGATACATGAAGACTATAATCTGGTATAAAGTTAAAGGATAAAGGACAGGTATATTAAGAATAATAAAAGCCAAACGTACTGTTCCATCTGGCACTATCAGAAGCAGTTGGGAGACTTGTAGTCTTATGTTTGGTAAGTTAGAAGTGTGAGTATATGGGACATGTAAAACGGGACTAAAGTGGTTGTAAAAGTTATTGCTGCTTTTTTTGTCAGAAAAGTGCAAACAAATGAAATAAGAAAAGTCATTCCTTTAATGATTACTAGTGATAGGTGAATTGTTTTAAGTATTAGTAAAAGGGATGATATATATGTATATATATATATATATATATATATATATATATATATATATATATATATATATATACACACACACATGTACATTAATCAAATAAGAGAAAATGAGGAAGGAAATTTTTAGAAACTGGCATTAATAATTTATTGTTTTAATAGGTTGAGGATTTGGGAATAGACGAAGGACAAGTTTTGTTAGTTTTTTGATTAACTGCTTTACAAACATTCCAATTGAATGAAAATGCTCTTTGTGAGTAGTCTTTTGGCATGGTTTGAGACTGTGACAAATATGGAGGTATTATCAAAGTCTAATGTGTGATTTGAGGATAAAGCGTGTTCGTAAAGTTTTAGGCAGAAGAGTTTTTGAAAGAAATCGAATATTTATATTGGCTGATTTGGACATTACGAAGGTTTTTGGTTTCTCTAATATAAAAGCAGTTAAAATTGGGTGAAACAAGGAATAATATGATGAGGACATTTGAACGACGTCGAAGAGGAATGGGATCTTTTAAGGAGGTGCAGGTATTGGAAAGTTTGTTGCGGTTTTTAAAAACAACTCGTAGGTTGGTGATGGAAGAACATAAAGACTTTTGAATTTTTTCAGAAAGAGAAGTGATATAAGGTAGAGATATATATAAAATAATTGGTGGCGGATTTTGAGAACTTGGAAGGGTGTGGAAGATGAAGAGGTGGGTATTGTAGTTAATTACTTTTTTGGTGGTGTTGGAGGGGAATTTGTTAGAGAATTGTATCTGTTAGATGCGTCTTGTGTTCGTTTTTAAATAATTTTTACAGTTTTAAAAAGAGTGTACAGCGACAGATCTACGAGTACTCAAGAAAAAAGACCAAGAGGTGTGAAATAATCAGGTCAGAGGAGAGGGGGGGGGGGTGCAGTCAACCAGGTCTCATAGCCCCAGACCGGTCATCCAGATTTTATTTTTTAAAAACAATAAATATATTATACAATAATTATATAGTATCTTACATAATAATTTTGTTGTATACATTACATAGGAAATGGTATGATTTTGGTGCTGAATTTAATATTTGAGGGGTGCTCGAAACAATTTATTCCTAGGACCCTTGGTTTCTCTCCTCTAGTGAATCCACCAGTGAACGGCCATCAATATTGTTTACCACTCACTTTAAGAAACCGTTCTTCTGTGACTGATTCATCTCCATAACCTGCCCTTAACTTCAGCCTTTTCTGTTTATTTATATACATTGAATTTTCTTATAATTTCAGTATATTGTTACATTAATTGCCTTCTGATTCCTTTATTTTTTCAAAAAATTCCTTTGCCATATTTTCCATCAAGGTTGATTGACTTAGCTGGCTTGAATGACCTGCATTTTTAGATGGGATGTTTTCATGTCTAGTTCTCATTTTTAGTCTTTGTTCCCTCAGTTTGCCTTCAATAATTTTTTCTCTTCTACTTTCTCGCTCGAACATCTAAAAAGAAAACAATGTGACATGACTTAAATATTATATCTATGCTTAAAAATGGTTTATAAAATTAGAAATAACGGTTAAAGAACTTTATTATGTATTTATATGTATATAAGGGTTACTAGTAAGTTTTTTAAAAAATTGTGTATAACTGGGGGGGAGGTTCATTGTACAAAAATTACAACAAATATTGTCCATTGCTAGTCATATACCTTATACCATGTTTCTGGTAGCATACAAACTCTGCTTCAAAGGATCGACTGGTGTTTAGAGATCTTTTAAAGATTCTTTTTTACAATTCAGACAGAACATGATTAATTGGTCAAAACCACAGGTGGATCTACAGGGGAGGGAGGGGGCTTTTGGGGTAAAGCTCCTCCCCCCAAAATGGTGAAATATGACCATGTTTTATGAAAAAAATTATCTCTAAAAGTATTATTGTTCATCTAATTACATTTAAGAGGACTTTAAGAATCACTTAAACACCATTTCATATAGGTAGTTAGTTTCTTTCTTCGAAAGCAATTATATATAATATATCTATCTAATATATACATACAAAACAAAATCTTTGTTTGGGTTGTGCCCCCATCCTCCCAAAAATTAAATCTTGGATCAGTTAGTGATCGAAACTATCACTCAGGAAGAGCAATGTCTAGAGATTTTGGTGGGTAGATTAGGATAGGATGCTTTTTTAGTTACTCCTAAAGATTTTGCAAGTTCTCGAATCTTCGTTCAATAATGTTATAATTCTTTGAACTTTTCTAGCTTTATGCTTTGTGAAAAAATCCCTGTTTAAAACCTTTTGAACTTTCTAAATCAGTACTAATAATATGATATTATAGGAGCATGGTCCTTGTTTGCTTCCCACAACTATCAATGAAGTTCAGTTTTTTTAAATAGAAGTAGATATATAGAGTGTCTCGCAAAGTTCATTATCCAATTAATAAATTATATTATCATTTAAAATGACTGTAATAATATTTTCATAATTGCATATATTTTTAAAAATTGAAATAATATTGTGTTCTACAAGAGTTCATCATCATCATCTGATGGCGCTATGGTTCTTGTAGAACCTTGGCCTCCTTTATGTTCCTCCAAATCGACCTGTCTTCGGCAGCCCTTCTCCATCTGCCTACACCCAGGCTCCTAAGACCATATTCGACGCCTTCCAGCCAACGAAGTCTAGGCCTGTCTCTTTTCCTTCTTCCATCCGGATGTTCCTCCATCATCGTCTTAGGGAGCCTACCATGTTCCATTTTTTGCACATGACCTAAACATCTTATCCTTCCCCTCTTTATGATGAATATAATGTCTGGGGCATTACATAGCTTCTTCAGCTCATCATTTGTCTTCATACGCCAAAGATTTCCTTTCTTGGTCGGTTCATGAATTCTATGAAGGATTTATATATTCTACAAGAGTCACATTTTTTATTTTATTTTTTCTGTAAAATTTAAATCAAACCTGAACAGTTGAAACTAACGTCAATATTTAAATATTAATTAGTTAATAAGTTTGCTATTACATTAGAGGACACTAATCAATTATAAATTAGAATCGTGTTTCATTCAGAATGGAATAAATTCAGTTAACTTACCGATGTCAAATAAGCCTTATCATTTTTAGTTGTTTTCACAAACTTTTCAGATATCTCAATAATATATGTAGTTCCAACGTCGTTTCCTACTGCAACCATTTCACCGCTTTCGTGACAACGCAATCCGTGTAAGGGCTCATCACAAATCTGTATAAATTTATAAAAAAAAGAGTACTAAATATTGTGTTTTAAAATTACATATATATAAGATAGATAATATCTGGACTCTGTAAAATAAAGTTGTTAATAGTAATTAAAATTAGATAATTTAAAGATAATTCTTATATTTACAGAATCGAATGTGAATTTATTATTGGACTATTTCTCCCTGTTAATTCCTTCGACTCCTGATAAGCAATCCACGTGCTCTCATTTTCAAGTAAAATCATCTTAATAAATAAGAATCTGTTTTTATGAGAAAAACTAAAAATTGAAATGATCAACTACAAAGTAAATTTCAGTTTTAGTTTAGTTTCTTTTTTTAAAAACCGTGTGGATTTACCTTAAATCTGAACAAGTATTATTTTGGTGTTGCTCACTTTACTTTTTACTTTCACTTACCTATATACGAAATATATATTAAGGGTAAGTATTGCGATCGTCAAAATGTTCGAATCTGAGATTTCAACGGGAATACATGTTTTGATGTCTCCTGAGCCCAAATAACCAAGTCCCGCAAAATGGTCTGTGTGTGTGTGTGTGTGTGTGTTTTAGCAGTCTAGCTCAAAAATGAAAAGTCGTACGAAACCAATATTACGTATTTAAGATAGATATATGCTTTAAATGTGACATCAACTTTTTCGTTGTAATCGGCTAACCAGAAGTGCCACTTTATATCAACGCTGAAACACATTTTTACAATTTTCTCAAAAACGGCTCTAACGATTTGATTAAACTCGGCGTATCATTGTATAATTATCTGGTCTTTTATATCAATTAGGTCTTGTTCCCGTTGATGTCACTTTACAGGGCTTAAATGCACAATGTTCATAAACGTCTTCCTCTTAAGTCCCTTTAATATGGTTCATTTTAAATAATTAATCATGTCTCATTATTTAGAGTTACGAAAAAACGCTAAATATAACTTTTGAAAGAATTTGATAATTGAATAAAGGAGAAAAAAATAAAAATGCTTAGCCAGGTCGAAAATGAATCTCCGGAAATAACAGTCAGAAGGTATACGTATAATATATGGTTGGAAAGCGGAGAATTTTAGAAAACACAATAACTAATATAGAAAGTTGTATAAGGTAATGGAGAGTGGCAAAAAAAATTATAAATAATAATTTTTGAAAACTAATAATATTTAACGTAAATCACATGTTTTTCAGGAAATTAAATGAAATTTACTAACTAAATGTAAACTTTAAAAATATTTTTAAGTTTGAAGTATTTAAAATTAAGTATTTAAAATTCACCTAATCAAGGCAATACCAATGTTTAAAAAACTATTTCATTGTATTTGTATGAAAGAATAAATGAAATATAAAATCATTTCGTGGATGTATAAAGCATACCTTTATAACCTTAAATACATTTACCGTAGTTTAATAATTTTAGATCTGATATTATATTTAAATAATTAGGTATCAACGTGCGTTTATTCCGAAAAATCATCACGTAACTTTTACAAAAATTAAATTAGTGAATAATTTGATAAATTTTCTCTTTGTGAAATCCCAAAATTATCGTGTTTTCCTCTGAAGTGCCTTCAATTTGGTTTATTATAAATAATGACTGTTTTTCATTGTTAAGAGTTATGAAAAAATGCTAAATATAACTTTTGAAAGAATTTGATAATTGAATATAGGAGAAAAAAAGAAAAATACATGAATAAGCTCGGTTAAAAATGTAATTCAAAATTGCATAATAGACCAACATGGCCAGAAAATAATTTCTGTTCAAAGTTGAGCGGTAAGTGAAAGTTGTGTGTTGCGCGCACAAGATTTTTTTTATAACTGTTGATAAGTTACCAGTTACTGGACTGATTAGCTTTATAATTGTCTACAAAGAATATATCATATCGCGCTGCGGAAAAACATGGAAGTAAGTGTAAATTTCTAAAATTTTAGAAGTAAAACGGGGGAAATGTTTGATGTAATATTACACCAAAGTTTGACCACTTCATTGTTTCCAGCTTCTACAAAAAATTTTATATTTCACTCCGAATTTCAAATAGAGGCCAATCTAAAAGTCTGGAGCTTATTTATTTACGTCATAAAAAAAAAAATGTTATTCTAGTTTTTGATTTATTTTACTCTCGAGATTTTACGGTACATCAATCTATTTATCAATTCACACAATCACAAGCTTCGTCGTAATAAATAGAGAAGAATTGGTAATATTTAAAAATTTAACTGAACACTACTTTGTTAACGAACCTTTATGTTCAAGCAAGAATCCCGCTGTCGCTGTAAAATATCCCAGACATCTAATGTCCCATCAACCCTTGTAGTAAAAAAAACTGATGGTTTGGTGGGTGACCATGCTCCTTTAGTTAATTTTCGGTTTTGATAACTGGAACAGATAACGAACTTTATTTTCTTGACAATTTTTTACTTATTTATATTTTTTTATAAATATTGTCTATTCTATAAATATTCTTAGATTAATTAAGTATCATGATATACATAGAATCATTTAAAATAAGAAAGAGAAATTATACAATGAAAATTAACCTTAAAATAAATGTTGAAATAAAAAAAAAAAATACTCTCTATTTTCGGCAATGAAAACTTCCAGATATATCATTGCCGAAAATAGAAAATATTATAGTTATTCCTTGCAAAAAAGAAGAAAAAAAAAATATATTGTTTTAAACGATTAGTTCAATTGGATTTCGTTTAAGTTAAAGTTTGTAGAAGGACCTAATATTGTTTTCTAGTTAGGGTAGATAATTTCCATTTTATTCTAATTTAATTTAGTTTTTACTATAAACAAACCCTAGATTGTTGGTACCTTTTTTTCATGTGGTATAGGAAAATTTCTAAAAATCGATACAATGAGATATCTGTAACCGTTCAACCTGTCTTAGCTTTATATCGATACATTAAACATTTGATCAATTCCATTAATATCGAATGAAACAAGATAATTTAAATGACTAGTACAAAAACTTTTATGGAATATGAGAAATTAAATAATTTATTTTATTTTGATACCATGCATAATGAAAGCAATCTCACCTGGTCCATATAATAGCCGACTCTCTACAGTCTTCTGACCAAATTCTTGCTGTCCAATCTCCAACAGTTAAGAAATTCTTTAAAAATGCTGGATTTCTCTGTAATGACCAAATTGGCCCATGGTGCGCTTTATACTGAACACCAAGTTTTTCAGTAGTCGTCTTGCCCTTTCTGTTCCCACTTACAACCACTCCCATTTCAGTTCCAACCTAGAAATTTAATTCCGAAAACAAATAAATAACTATGATCCATGATTTTAATTTTAAAAATATTATAAAGTAGAATAATGTCAGAGCGGCGGTAAATATGAATACAGAAAAAATAAATAAAAACGATTTATTTACTGACAATGTTTCGGTCCGCTTTACAGATCTTCAGGGCTATTAATGAAATCAATTATATGAAGCGGAAGCCAAAGGGGGATAATCAAATGGTGATTAAAAATATGAAATATTAATATAAAATAAAATATACAATAACGGTAGACCAATTTAAAAAGATTTAACAAAATACATAATTAGAAATTTAATAGGAATGAAATTTATTAAAATTAAGATATTTGATCATTGAAATGGAAAAAAAAAACAAAGAGGTGGAAAGGAGAAAGTTAACCGATGGAAACAATTCTCAAAGTAATTAAGTGAATAAAAGAAGAGAATCTTAATAGGATAGAAAATAAATAAGAAATTAATAGGTTAGATTAGAAATTAATAAAGTAGGATAGGAACAGTCTGTAGTAAATACTGCTGCTTTTTAACACGTCAGCGAGGGTTACGGTCCACGGGCTCCGATATTAGTCTCGACTATCAAACGGCCAGGATTGTTTTGAATTTTGTCTATCTTACGAAGTCCCTAAAATGGTAATGTTTAAAAATGTTTGAATGGGAGTTGGATAGATATAAAGACAGGAGCGTAAATAATCAAAAATGCTGATAACATGATTTTGGGCAGGACAGTGCACATGCATGGTCTTGTTATCTTCGGGCTTCTGCCGCGCAGTAGCTCTTGAGAGTTCATCTTAGACTGTTCCCTTTGCTTATTTAGCATGTATAAACAATAAATGACATACATATAAATAATGTATAAATCATATCTTGAAAATTATAATTATATGTAATAAGTAAACTTTTTCTCATTTCATTTTCAATATTGAGGATTTATATCCCTAGAAATAACACTTGTTTACTAAAACAAGAGAAATAATAAAAAAACTCATCATATAAACGGCATCGGACGCCGGAGTCCACTTCTTCGATTGCTGGCCATTAATGAGAACACAATCAACAGATAGAGACAGATAGAGACAGATAGCTCACCTTTGTTGTCAAAAAATACCGGTATACCTCGAAACTGATGCATGTCTCTGTTGTCCGATGCCGTTAGGAACTCCATTACTAGTGTCGCTCACCAGGGACCGAAATCGTCAGGAAAGACATTTAAGAGATATCACACTCAGGAGCTAACGTGTTAATAAGTTCAAAATATGTCTAAAGGCGAGAGAAAACACAAAATCCCATAAAGAGAGAAAATATAAATCTTCGGTATTTCTCTTTTTTTTTTTTTTTGTCTGTAACCATGGAAACCACCCTCTTCTTGAATATTAATACTTTCAATTATCTGAAATTAAAATATTTTTAGTCAATAAGACTCTCACTATGTCAGAATGATGTAGTTATTAAGTTTGGATGGTCTTGGATAGTTTGTTATGCGGCTAGGTATACCTGACGCGCCTGCCGTATTCGAGCTTTTTCGGAAAGTTTAATAAATGCATTTTATAATCAAGAAAATACCGGCCGTGGAAATTTGTTAACCCCGGGCAATCACGTCATGAGTGCCCCCGTCCCCCTTCTTGTAACGAAATGTGATTTGGGAAAAAATGAAACACATTTGAATATATGTATATAACTTTGTATTCGATTCAAGAAGTTACTTAATTTTATTCACTACAACCATTGTTGGAGAATTAATTGTTTATAAAATGCAATGCTAAGCTTGAATAATAAAACACGTAGAGTAAAAACAGTGATGAAAATTCATATGCAATTAAAGTGAAACTCATTTCTAATAGGAGTTTGGGTGTCCCGTGAATTCTTATTTCATTTATCTTATTTGTTTTTAAGTATTATAATCTCTGATTTCCTTACGTTCTGGTTACTAGGCACATCTGGCGGATCTACGGGGGGAGGGGGGTTCCAGACTGAAGCCCCCCTTCCCCACAGTGGTAAAATAACAGTTTTATAAAAAAAAATCATCTTTAAAAGTATTATTGTTCGTCTAATTACAGTTAATAGTACTTCAACAATCACTTAAAGGCCATTTCAGATAGGGATTTAGTTTCTTTCTTCCAAGTCATTATCCTAATATATTTATACAAAAAATAATATTTCGGGCTGAAGCCGAAATATTATCCTGGATCCGTTAGTGCCACACACAGCTCTTCATAGAAAAAAATTGGCAACACCAACATTGTTACCATAATATATATATATATATATATATATATATATATATATATATATATATATATATATATATATATATATATATATGTGTGTGTGTGTGTGTGTGTGTGTGTGTGTGTATAATAGAAAAATCATCTTTATTCTGGGACTAGGTCCCTTTAGAATAACAGTATTGTTCATATATATTAACTATAAATCTGGTCAAAAGACTTATTACAAAGAATGATAACAAAATACATGCAATACATTAAGTATTAATTAAGCTCTTAGGATAAATTAACGAGGACAGTTGGGTAATAGGGGTTCAGTACTACAATATTGGAACTAAAATAATTGCATAATAATCACTGAATGAAATTAGAAAGGAAAGTAAAATCTATTTTATAGGTAAAGCATTGTAGTGATGGAATATAAAAATTAAAAAAATTATAATAACTGTTAATATGTAGGGAAAGAAATTGTAAAAACTAAAACAAAAAAATATATAAAAAAACAAATAATGATATACACATGTTCCCTAAGATATTTAAGTGATTATGCGTAAAGATTAGGAGAAGAGAAAATAAAATAAAGTATACATATACACATGGCGAGAAGTATGTTGAAGATAATTAGAAATAAAATACCTTTCACTGAAATACATTTCATGACTAGCAAATTAGAACTTAAGAAAAACAAATTTTATCTACTCACAATGCTTAGTGAGTGGTGATGAAAATTCACGTTCAACATAGAATAAAACAATAAAAAATAAGAGAAAAAAAATGTCTAAATAAAATTAAATCCTTATAACATAGTATGTATTTAACCAGCGTTTGATTGGATTGTGAAGAGGAATTGGAATAAGAGGGTTTTAAAGGTGGATAAGGATGATGCATGGCGGATTTTTAGTGGGATGGAATTCCAGAATGCAGTGGAACGGACAACGAAGGAATGTTTAAATGAAGCAGATCTGTGGAAAGGAGTGTAAAGGTCAGAAGGACGAGTTCTTGTGGAGAGGGTGTGGATAGATGATTTGAATTGTAGGAGATTGTATGCGTAGGACAGACGATGACTATTGATTATTTGGTAAAGGAATTTGCCTAGGAAATATTGTCTTCGGAAGGAAGGGAAGAGCCATCCTAATTCAGCATAGTGGTGCGAAAAACGGGAATACCTCAGGGCCCCTGTGACAAATCTTACGAAGGCATTCATAATTCTTTTCAGTCTCTCCCCGAGTTCTGCCGAAAGGCCACCGTACACCACGCAGCCGTAATCAAGGTGGGGGAAGATGAGGGAAGTTACTAGGAGTCTACGTGTGGAGATGGGTAGGAGATGGCGGAAGCGATGGAATAGTTTCAAGGTACCAATTGACTGTCGGGTAATGTGAGCAATATGGTGTTTCCAGGATAGGGTTTGGTCTATGAAAATGCCCAGGTTTTTTACTGAGGAGGTGAAGGTAATGGGATGGTCATTTAGGTACAGTATATGTATGTTGGTATTGGCTCTGAGAAGGGGTTTGTAACCAATGACAATGTCTTGAGTTTTTGAAGCGTTTAACCTTAATCCATTTAAGTTTGCCCAGGCACTGATCCGATTCAAGTCTTCTTGAATTTTGGCAAACGCTTCATGCAACTCTGAGGGATGGAAGGAAAGGTAGATTTGGGAGTCATCGGCGTAAAGGTGATGGGAGCAGTGAAGGATTGCATTATGGATGTCATTGATATAAGAACTAAAAAGGAGGGGAGATATGCTAGAGCCCTGGGCCACTCCTGCGGACAAAGTAAGATAGGAAGACAATGGTTGATTAGGAATAGCGACAGGGAAAGGAAAGATTGAAACCATAGGATAGAACTATGGGAAAAGGATAATGACTTTAATTCTATTATCATCATTTATCTAATTATTATCATTTAAGGATAATGACAATATATATATATATATATATATATATATATATATATATATATATACAAGAGTCTTGAGCGAAATAAATCATTGCTTTTATTTTATCTAGTTTAAAAATAGGAATCTAAAAACAAATTTATTATATTTTTTTTTTTAAATGATTTCAAATATTATACTTTGTATTTACCATGAATCTTGTTGGTATGGTAGGTTCGTACTCCAAAACTGAAGCTCCTAATGCTCTTTTTAGGAGCTGCTCTTCTGCTTTCGTTATGTCTAGAACTAATGTTTCAATAGGTGATTTTAATTTCCTTGCATCCCACCATTTTACCTTTAAAAGATCAAACACATTTATTTTTTCAACAAAGGGGAAAACTAATTATGTTTTTTTTAGAGCTTAATGAAATGAAAAAATAATTTTATTCTGGAACTAAAGTTCCACAAGAACAACAGAGTTAAAAAATTAAACACATTAGACATGAAAAAAAACTTTACTTGTCAATAAACTGTTAATTGCAAAAATAATTACAGGTTAATATTAGCATAAGGCAATTTAAAGCCACCGATGTTTTTATGGCATAAATATCTACTCACCTGACCATCAGTTGAAGCTGAGAAAAATTCCGTACCAGATTTAGAATTCACCCAAAGTACACAAGTTACAGGATCTCGGAAGCTTTCGTAGTGATCAGAAAACTTTAGTGGTTGGCCACCTCTCCGAACATCCCAATAAGCAACCTGCCAATAACGAAGATTAAACCAACATGCAGCGGTTTTATCATATCTTCAAAATAAAAATAATTTAAAAATTACTTGACCATTGTAGAGGCCTCCGACAAGAGTATTTACATCTCTAGGGTTGTATTCCAAACAGACAATTGGTACACCGGCGTCAATAACTAGTTCGGGTCTGTTAGGGTTCTCTAAATAAAAATAAATTATTAAAACTATTATCTTATACTTTATATGCACTATGAAAAAAGATCAAATATAATCATGCAGTTGATGAATAATACTGATAGGTGTTGATGATTAAAAGAAACACGTGAGTTTCGTTATATACGTTACAACGAATCCGTCCGACCTCTATCCTCCTCCTCACCGAACTGCGTTGTTTATTAAATCCTTTTTAATTCAAGTTGTCTCCCTCTGGAACTCTATACCCTCAGATATTCGACACGCAAAATCAATATCCTCTTTCAAATCTCTCCTCTTCAAACACCTACTCCATTCCCAATCCGATTGATCGCGAAATGCACTTAAAAACCTAAGCTGTAAGAATTTCAAAGTATATCCAGATACTCTGATACTCTGATTATTTTGTGATTCATTAATATCTTGTTTACTAAATTTCTTTCTCTGTTTATTTTATATTTATACACGTTTTCATATCTTTTTATTATCTATAATTTTATTGTAATCATACTGTAGTTTATGGACACACCAGAATATTAATATACTTTCTGTATTAGTAACTTGTTCTAAAGGGACACTAGTCCCAGAATAAAAATATTATTTTCATTCATTAATTTTCATTCATTTCATTCATTCATACAACGCTATATTCAGCAGAATTTAGCTTTTTACTTTAGCTAATCCTAACATGCAACAATATCTGGTGGATATAGTGTATTTTCTAATAAAGAGGTATCATTGTCAAATATATCAATAGAAAGCGCTGTCCTAAAGAATAAAACCTTAATTTATGTCTGCACAGCCTAAATAGATTTCTACTCTCATTCAAAAGCTCAGACCTCTATGTATTAGGATTCTATTGCTTACATTCTTTAAATCTGAGTATAAGTTTCCTCATTCCAAAAAAGTATTTATGGTATTTTTAAAAATTTCCCATTGAGAGGAGGACGACATCTGATCCAGTCTCGTAACGTCAGACCTATGATCTGGGTGAAACAACATGTTGAACATTTCAACAAATTTTGCCAGACATTACCACCAAAGATGAAAGGCTACAGTATGAAATTTGAATTTTATAACTTGAAATACCTAAATCAATCATATTAAAAATGAAAATAGTTTGGTAAAAGTGTGAAATAAATAAGAATGGGAAACCTAACTTTGTATAGATGAATGATTTTATGATTATTGATTAGTAATTTTAACAATAGATAAACGTAGAGACAAAAAAAAAAATTAATAGACCCAACATATCTGATATGCTGAAAAGCTAATCAAAAGGTACTTTTGAACAAAAATGTGTTTATGATGTTGAACTGTAAAGACATGAGATTGTTAGAGCGTATTCCTACGAAGTACTTAATCTATTGACTTACCAACATGCCATATATAAGAGTTGATGTGTGCATCATTACTTTCTTTTTGAAAATCTAAATTGGAATGGCTGACAGCTAATCGGGATCCTTGATCAGGTGACCATGATATATTTGAAACAGGCCGTTTTATTGGTAACGGGTCACGAAAAACGTTAACAGTTCTGAATGCCTGTTGTTCAACCATATCGCTATCTTCACAGTCTTCAAAATATAACTCATAAATATTTATAGCATTATTCTGATGAACACAATGCTCCATTGGCTAGAAATAAATAAACAGCATCTGTTACGCATACATTTCTTCCACCTTTTTTTGAATATTATGGGCTATATCAACTAAATATTTTTCAAAATAATGCATAGTTATTACTGCATATGGAATTCATGTTATTGTAGATGATCATTAAAAGTAATATAAGGAGAAATTACCAAATAATACTTATTATTACATGACCGTTAAACTTATGCTAAAGTAAAACGCATCCGATTTTCAAGCTGCACAGCTTTTGAATATAAATATAATTAAGAGAACTAAAGAAACATAAATCGCCCATCAGAATTCCAGCTTCAATTTTAATGACATTTTGATGAGACAATTAATTCTCTTCAGTTTCCTACTTATCCATCATAAGAAGTTCGAACTTTCTTGTAATTTTGATCTAGTTCTGCTAATCAGACTAAATGGGCGAAAATTCCAGTTCGCTATCTTAATTTCAACAGGTAATAACAGTTTTACCAGAAGTAATTCACCATATCTAGATTGCCGGTGAGAGCTGGCAGACCGAAATTCAGATGAGCAGATGGTGTGGCAGGTGACGCGAGAGACTTGATGGGAGTCAGGAATTGGAAAGCGTCCGCACAGAATAGAGAAATTTGGCGGAAGCTCGTTGAGGAGGCCAGGACCCACTAAGGGTTGTAGAGCCACTAAGTTAGATATAGCATTTCCAAGTCAATTTCAACCTTTTCCAAGTCAAATTCAACCTTTTCCAAATCAAATTAAACTTTTTCCAAGTCAAATTCAACCTTTTCCATTTCAAATTCAACCTTTTTTTATTTATTTAATTATCTTTAATTTTTCGATGTGTGGGTCTGTTATCGTATGAGTAGTTTTTGAAAATAACCTCCTTTTTAAGATTACGTGACTGCGTTTCGAATTATTTAAGTTTTTTTGACTTATTCGATATAAGGGTGTATTTTTATGTTTCCCGATCAGTAAATTTTGAAAATGACATCCATTTTATGTTTACGCCACTGTGTTTTGATTTATTTAAGTTTTTAGAATTTATCCAATATAAAGGTCTACTTTTATGTTTCCGGAGCCGTAGATTATTGAAAACGACCTCCATTTTAAGATTAGGCCACCGCGTTTCGACTTATTTGAGTTTTTCGGATATTTTTCATATGAGGGTGTATTTTTATGTTTCCGGGGCTGTAGATTTTGAAAATGACCTCCATTTTAAGATTACGCCACTGCGCTTTGACTTATTTAAGTTTTTCGAATTTATCCAATATTAAGGTCTACTTTTATGTTTCCGGAGCTGTAGATTTTGAAAATGACCTTCATTTTATGATTACGCCGCTGCGTTTTGACTTATTTAAGTTTTTCGAATTTATCCAATATTAAGGTCTACTTTTATGTTTCCGGAGCTGTAGATTTTGAAAATGACCTCCATTTCATGATTACGCCATTGCGTTTTGACTTATTTAAGTTTTTTTGATTTATTCGATGTAAGGGTGTATTTTTATGTTTCCGGAGCTGTAGATTTTGAAAATGACCTTCATTTTATGATTACGCTGCTGCGTTTTGACTTATTTAAGTTTTTCGAATTTATCCAATATTAAGGTCTACTTTTATGTTTCTTGAGCTCTAGATTTTGAAAATGACCTCCATTTCATGATTACGCCATTGCGTTTTGACATTTTTAAGTTTTTCGAATTTATCCAATTTAAAGGTCTACTTTTATGTTTTCGGAACCGTAGATTCTGAAAATGACCTCTATTTTATGATTACGCCACTGCGTTTCAACTTATTTAAGTTTTTAGAATTTAACAAGTATAAAGGTATAATTTTATGTTTCTGGAGCAGTAGATTTCCCCCATTTTGTAAATGACCCAATTTCAAGTTTATGCCACTGTGTTTTGGATTATAAAAGTTTTTTTTTTTCGGTATAAGGATCTACTTATATGTTATCCCAGACGTATTGAAATTTTTCTAATCTTTAATATTTAAATTTATCTAATATTTAAGCTCCATTTTATGATTAAGTCGCTGCATCACGATTAATTAGGCTTCATTTCGATTTTTTCAATACAAAGTTTTATTAATATTTTTTTGAGTATGAATAAATAAATATTATGAAGCTAAAGTTAAATTAACCACAGAATACAAACTAAAAAGCCGAAAAGCAACTGGTAATAAATTTAACCTTCCGTATTCAGATTTTTCAGCTAATTGTTCGAAATCTTATAATTTTGTGACAGGAGACCACAACATTAAGAAAGATAACTAAAATTAAATACATATTTTATTTATTTTGATTAGATATTTTTATTTATTTATTGAAAAATAAATTAATCCTTCGTATTTTGTTTTTTATTTGAAGGGAAAATCAAAAGCACTTAAAAAAACCGAAACACAGTTGCCTAATCATAAAATGTAAGTCGTTTTAAAAACTAAGACTCCGGCATCATAAAAGTAGACCTTTAAATTGGATAAATTCGAAAAACTTGAATAAGCCGAAACGCAGTAATCTCAAAATGGAGGTCATTTTCAAAATCTACGACTCCGGAAACATAAGAATACATTCTTTTATGATACAAATTCGAAACACTTAAAGAAATCGAAATGCGGTGGCCTAATCTTAAAATGGAGGTCGTTTTCAAAATCTACGGCTCCGGAAACATAAGAATACATCCTCATTTTAAAAAAATCCGAAAAACTCAAAGAAATCGAAACGCGGTGGCCTAATCTTAAAATGGAGGTCGTTTTCAAAATCTACGGCTCCGGAAACATAAGAATACACCCTCATATGAAAAAAATCCGAAAAACTCAAATAAGTCGAAACGCGGTGGCCTAATCTTAAAATGGAGGTCGTTTTCAATATCTACGGCTCCGGAAACATAAAAGTAGACCTTTATATTGGATAAATTCTAAAAACTTAAATAAGTCAAAACACAGTGGCGTGAACATAAAATGGATGCCATTCTCAAAATTTACTGATCGGGAAACCTAAAAATACATCCTTATATCGAATAAGCCAAAAAAACTTAAATGATTCGAAACGCAGTCACGTAATCTTAAAATGGAGGTTATTTTCAAAACTAGGTACAGAACAGCATAATACTAGTCCCTAATAAATCCGAATAGGTACAATAAATCGATATCCGTAAGTGAAAATTCTACTTAGGAGAGCATAATAATAGACTTTCATATTGAAGGGGGGGAGGGGATGGCCATTATTTTTTTTAAAAATATAAAATTTACAAAAAATTAAAACATTAATTTAAAAAGAAAACAAAGATAAAGCTGAGGAGTTCGCCATTCACCTATCCAATACATTTATTTCACATCCGGAATCCCATCCTGCCCACACCGTAACAGTAGAAGAACTCCTTACATCACCAATCCCACTTTCCTTGCCCCCAAAAGCTATTCATCCTTCCGAAGTAAAATTTCAATTAAAAAAACTAATCCCCCGTAAAGCTCCTGGACATGATCTCCTTACACCTCAAATCCTTCGACAACTTCCATCCAAAGCAGTCATATTCCTTACATATATCTACAATTGTATCCTACGCACCACCCACTTCCCTCTGTTATGGAAACACTCCACTATTATCCTTTTCCCAAAACCAGGAAAACCTCTCAATAGCTCAACATCCTATAGACCAATCAGCCTACTCCCAATCCTTTCAAAAATTTTTGAAAAGATCCTTTTGAAACGAATCCTACCCATTATAGAATCCCAAAATATCCCTTCCCATCAGTTTGGTTTTCGCTCTCAACATTCTACTGTTCAACAAGGACTCCGAGTTGTTGATCATATTTCCTCAGCCCTAGAAAACAAGGAATACTGTTCGGGTGCCTTTCTGGACATTGCACAGGCATTTGACCGGGTATGGCACTCCGGACTGCTCTCCAAGCTTAAAATCCATTTACCTCAGTCCTTGTACCTAGTCCTCCGATCCTACCTCTCTGACCGCTCCTTTCGAGTTCGCTGTGGAACAGAATTTTCCAATATCTACTCCGTTAAAGCCGGTGTTCCGATACTTTTCTTGCAACATTCGCTGACGACACCGCAATCTTATCATCCAACTCTGATCCCGAAATAGCATCCTTAAATCTCCAAAGTCACCTCACCTTGATTGAGCACTGGTGTAATAACTGGCGCATTAAAGTTAATGAATCTAAATGCCAACATATTACCTTTACACTCCGACGCAATTCCTGTCCACCAGTACTCTTTAATTCCATCCAGCTTCCTTATTCAGACACAGTCCGGTATCTTGGCTTTCATTTAGACCGAAGATAACTTGGAACCCGCATACTAGACTCAAAAGACAAGAACTCAACCGACGATACGGCCAACTATACCGACTACTAAGCAGAAAATCTAAACTTTCCATTGAAAACAAGCTACTGATCTACAAGACAATACTGAAACCTATTTGGACTTACGGACTAGAACTGTGGGGATCAGCAAAATTTTCTAACATCAAGCGCATCCAATCCTTCCAGTCTAAAGTCCTTCGAACAATAGTCGATGCTCCTTTCTATGTATCCAACAAAACCCTACATCATGACCTTAACATCCCATTTGTCCTAGACCTTATCCCAGAAAAATTCTCCAAATTTCACCAGAACCTTACTTACCACCCAAATCCTCTTGCACAATCCCTATCAAGCATCTCCCATCCCTATAATCCTCCAAGAAGGTTGAAACGGCAGTGGCCTCGCGACCTTTTGTAGATTGTATAAATTGGAGTTCTGGCAATGGCCAGATTCTTCACTCAAGACATGTGTGTATGTGGCTAAAGTGCTCTCGACCAATCTCCGCTGGCTTTAGTACCAGTGACGCGGTTGGGAGAGTAGCGCAGGGTTCTCCTGGAGTTCCCTCGCCTGATTGTATATAGGTATGCATGTGTTTTTTTTTTTTCTTAGTTTTAATTTTCTTATTTTTTAGGTTATTTTATTTTATTGTCTATTGTATATACTTTTGATTATTATTTTGTTCTATTTATTTTATTTGTTTGTACATATGGTGTGAATATTTATGACTTGGAAAAAGTTTAATTTGATCTGGAAAAGGTTGAATTTGACTTGGAAATAATTGAATATGACATAGAAATATCACACTGAAAAAATCTAAAATGTTAAAATAAATGGATATGCAACCGCGTTATCAAAATTTTTTTTGTATTTTTCAAAAGCTATACCTTCGATAATATAGTAAGTGGCCTTCATTTCGAAAAAAATTGAAAATTGACAAAAATTCGAAAGTTGAATTTGAAATGGAAAAGGTTGAATTTGACTTGGAAAAGGTTGAATTTGAAATGGAAAAGGTTTAATTTGACTTGGAAAAGGTTGAATTTGATTTGGAAAAGGTTGAAATTGACTTGGAAATGCTATATATAGATATCTTAATTTCAACAGGTAATAACAGTTTTACCAGAAGTAATTGACGATATCTAGATTGCTGGTGATTTACAAACGCTTCAAACATTATTTCGCAGAGCGGTTACAAATAATAATTAGTTACATAAATAACAATGCTTCCTCAAAGCCCTATGTTCCTTGATTTGAGTTTCGTTGTACAAACGGGATAAGCTAATTATTCACGCCTTGAGCTTTTTTATTTTTAAAAAACATTTATACTCATTCCTTTTCATTTCATTTCCTCATTTTTTTAATTTCCTTATTCCGCACTAGATGAAGCCTTGTTAAAGTTGAAGTCATGAAAGTGATTGGCTCTTTGACGCCCTCTTCCTAATTTTCTCTTTTGTAATCTCTGTTTCTTACGTTCTACAAAGCTTATTTTCTATACCTATACCGAAGTTATATCTGAGGACAGCATATAACTTTTGACGGAACTTGAATCTCCATAATGTAAAAAGGGAGGAATATAAAATATTCCTTAGGAAAAATATAAATTTTCTACCCCAGATGTCTCTAAACTACTACGGCCCGCGAAAGTTTCTTATGATTGCATAGTAAAATATTAAAAATTACTCATACGTAAGGCTACTACAACTTTTCTTGCACGAGTTGATTCTCTCAGAAAGCTCATGTTACTACTGAAGTGTCATTTATAGATCTTTTTTTTTTCATCACAAGCTATGGCCCACGGGATTAAGTGGAGGTCTCAATGTGGTCCGCGAGCCAAAACATTTGGAGAACCCTGTTCTACACTTTTCTCAACCTTCAAGGACCTGTTTAAAAATATTAAATATTACAGTAAATGCGTTATGCAACAGTTCCCATTCAACGGTTAAGTTATATACACTTCGAGGTTATGAGGTCGACTTTACCAGATTTTAAACAGACGCATATCTATAGGTACATCTATCGCTAATGGTTTCCAATTTTCGATTTTCTTGTTTCGTTTTGCACCATTTAAGGCCCAACAGCGATATCTCTCTCATACACTCAAACATACTGATTCATTGAAAACAGTAACCGACGAAAACTCACAATATTTCATGCCCGACTGATAAACAGCGACCATTTAACGCTTGTATGTTGCTGTAAGCGAATCAAAGCGTCCAAATCAGAGCTCTGAAGAATAATTCACGGTCACAACGATTGTTAATCTAATATATTCCTTAGTAGGGTAGGAATTACTTCTAAAGAGCCTTCCTTAATACTACGACGAATGTGAAGAACCCCGAGGTACTCCAAAAATGGCTTGCACGGCTATTTTATACATTTGTTTTTAGCTAGCCTTCGTGAGAGCCTTTCTCTCAACGGAAATACAACTTCGGCTTTTGCAAATATCAGCTTGTTAGCAATTAGAATCACATCCCTCATTTCGAACAATTATACCAACGGTAGTTTACGTGCGTGTATTAATATATGGTTAAATGGGAACAAACGAAACTAAAATCTTAGGTTTTCTGCAAGAACAAATGTAGCTAACGACCATAGAAGTTGTAGTTACAAAAAAAAAAAACTATTCGACACCACCACTTTAATTTTTTTTTTTTTTTTTTTTTTTTATTTTTATCTTGGGGGCAGAATTCATCATTTATCATTAAACTATCACTACTCCCAATACGTAATTAAGTAATTTTTAGTAGACAGGAATTCGTAAGCATGTGGTCAAAACATGATAACTAAGTTGCTATAGCTTTATCAATGTCATATAGTACTTACGAGAAGTAACTGTAGAATTGAGTGTGTATACATTTCATCTTTTTCGATTTTTTTCCTGAACCGTAATGTTTGTTCGCTATCCATGAAGTTCAAATCTTTGGGCCAACCACCTTCAGTATGGTTCATGCTGTTTTGAGTATAATCAGCACGGGTAGTATTTACCTACAAATAATACAGTTAACTTTTTAAAAATTATTTTATGAATAGAAAACTGTAGATATGCAGCAATTTATTCTAGGCTAACATATCAAATGAGCTAAGTAATATTTAATAACTCACAACACTAATATTTTAATGATTAGCTGTTAAATAAATAACTACTGAAAACATAAAATCTTACTTCATGTTCTGCCATTACTTTTACAATATCAACTGATTTATCAACCGTTTCCATGATTTTTATGCCTTCGCAAAGATCAGGATTTGGAGCAATATCAACAATTAATTCATCTTTATCGCTAAATTTATATGGGCCGCCAAATTCTTTCCTTTGTTTGATGTATGTGTATGTCAATTCCGTCATATTGAAAATTAAATTATGTTTTTATGAGTGTAATTAAACTTGTAACGTCACTTGTTTTGACAAAGTCTGTTGATCAAACGGTTCTCTAGCAACGGATAAACAAATGCCCAGAAACAAGACTCGTAATATGGGTCAAGCACATTAATTAAACATGACAGCTAGATTTCGCAAGCATCACTAGTAGTTAAAAATAATGAAAACTAACTTTTTTAGTATATAGGAAATAGCATTCTGATAAGGAAAGTATATTTTTTACATATCCCTATCAAATAAATAAATATTATAATCTGTCACAACCTAAAAATATATATTTCAAAATGCAATATATACAAATAAACAGAACAATTTGACAGTTATAATAGCTCTTATTTAATTTAAATTCTTTCAAGATGAAGTGATTTCACAATCTAAGATAGAAGTTTAAAGGATCAATTATACAAAGTAAAAAATATTTTGTTAGTGTTAAAAGAACTATACTTTTTGAATTATTACTATTTGAATAAATACTCTATCCAATTATTTCGTTATCTGGAAATGTCACTTTTTTTTTCTATTTATTTGTAAAATTTATTCCTCCTTCTCAATTTCAAACAGTCACAAAAAGCCAAACTATGTTTCTTAATAACCATTATCTAAGATAACCATTTAAATATTAGCCTATTTTTTAAACTAATTACAGAACCATATACTGCAAACTTTGTCTTGAATGGTGTAGGCCTGATAAAAATAAATATGCGTTATTATTAAATAAGATATAAATCATGTGTTATTTCCACCCATTTGGATCTTTTTTTTCTAACACTAGCCAATATTTTTTTTATTAATCTATATACACAGGGGCCAAACACCTGTGATGTTAATAGAACATGCACAAGCGGTAACCTGTATAGCATGATACAGGATTTATGTATATCTATGTCTTTAAGAATGACGTCAAAGGACGTATAAAATCTTTACAAGTAAGAAGACAAAGAGCAACGATTCTACAGTTAACATCGGTCGGTATATCATGCAGAAGATATAGATGTTTTTTTTTTTACAATTAGAGAAAGATTTTGCGCAATATGGGATACAAATTAGCTTATAAAGTTCCGTTGCTATCTCGTTGAGCCAGATCCAGGATTTAATTTGGGGGGGGGGGAGGCTTCAGCCCGAAAACATTTTTTTTCATAAAAATAACGATAATTACTTTGGAAAATAAGAAATAAACTAACTACCTATCTGAACTGGTGTTTAAGTGATTCCTAAAGCTCTTTTAAATGTAATTATATGAACAATTATACTTTAAGAGATAATTTTTTAATATTTTTTCGATAAAACATGGTTATATTTCACCATTTTTGGGGGGGGAGGGGTTCCTACACGAAGCCAATGGAACTATTATTCCCACCTAAGAAGAGTGCCTAATCACGGTAGAATTGCGCCTACGAAAAAATATGGCCTGTCGTTTTATCTTAGCAAAAAAAGGAAAACCTATCATTCCAACGAATATATTTTTTACTTTCACTTACCTATAGGCACAGTTTTTCAACAGAGTTCGAATCAGAGTCAGAGTTTTCAACGAAAATACATATTTTGAGGTCTCCTGAGTCCAAATAACCAAGTCCCGCAAAATGGTCTGTGTATTTGTTATCAGTCTAGCTCAAAAACGAAAATTCGTATGAAAGTGAAATTGCATATTTAAGGTTTTTATAAGTTTCGATGTTACAGCAACATTTTCGTCAAAATCGGCAAATCCGAAGTGGTGCTATATATAATCGATTTAACACATTTTTACGATTTTCTCAAAAACGCTCTAACGATTTTGATTAAACTCAGTATATCAGTGTATTATTAAGCAGTTTTAATATAATGTAGGTTTTATTCTCATTGATGTTCTCTATCAGGGCTTAAATGGCTAATTTTCAATATTGGCTTCCTCTGAAGTACCTTTATTTTTTTTATTTGAAATAATTAACCATTTCACATTAATATTTGATATAAAAAATAGTTAAATATAAAATATGAAAGAATTTGATAATTAACTAAAGGAGAAATAAGAGATCGTAACGGATAATAGTTGTAATAGAGGAATAAGGCATCCGAGCTCACCGAAAGATTACACAGGCTTCCATACGTAACATGAGCTTAATATAATACGGACTCGACAATATTATGTTCATATACATATGCGGTTTTCATAAATGCTATCGTTGGTATTATTTAATATTTAATTGTATAGAATACAGCGATATAAAAATTAAAATTTGTATATATAAGGGTATTTAAACAAATAAAAATACCCACAATGAATTGTAAATAAATATAGCGTCAATAATTTTTACTTTCACTTCCCCTTTGTCTGAAAATACTTATTTCTGCTAAGAGGGTAGTAAGTGAAAGTCGTGTGATGCGCGCACCAGATTTTTTTTTACTACTAGCTTGTTGTGGCTCTGTTGAGATGACCACCACCACCGGGATAACCTGGTGGATAACATAAGGAGATTTTAAGAAAGGGAGGATTCGAGCTGAAACTTTTTTTTTTAATAATGATAATTGCAGTTTTTGTAGAGAGTCCTTTCAATAATATTATAAATTCTAATATTAATGTTTAATGTTTTTTGTTATTTATATTTATTGTAATGTAATTTTTATTAATGGTTAACCATCAAATAAACTCCTATAAAGAAATATATTTTTTTTGTATTCAAGATTATTTATTATCAATGTTGTCCATATTTTTAATTAAGTTGTAAAACAGTTCATTAAATATAAATATATTTTGGCAACTAACCCAGATTATTTTTGGACTCCTAATTTCCTTTATTGAAATAGTTTTGTAGTGTTAACAGAGCACCCTAATATATATATATATACATATACTACCAGTTGCAGATCCAGGATTTAATTTTTGGGGGGCTTCAGCTCGAAAGATTTTTTTTTATATATGTTTATAACAGTAATTACTTTAGGAGATAAAGAAAGAAACTAACTACATTTATGAAATTATGTTATGTGATTATTGAAGCCCAATTAAAAAAAAAATTAATTACACAAGCAATAATACTTTTAGAGACCCATAGATCCACCATTAGATATCCGTATATGCTACATACTTAATAAATATTATTTTATACCTAGCTTGCAGCATTTTAAAAAAAAAAAGGTAAATAAAAATAGACTTTAGCTAAATAAATAATATATATTTTAACAATATAGAATAAATAATGTGAAGACATAAAAAATAGGTAATAAACAATTAAAAGGAACATCATAACTTTTGATAAGTTAATTTTTAGAATTTTTTGGAAAGGAAACAATGTTTTATGAGAAATGAGCAAAAAATTGAATGCCTTCTAAATAGAGATAAAATATACAATGAAATGAAAATTGCATAACAAAAAATTTAAATATAAACTTTGTTTTAACATCAATTAGAATAGATAGTAAAAACAATAAAAATTAAATACATTCATAAAGTAAAGCAAATTATAAATACATGAATACACATAAAATATAAAACTGGTGAAAGGTTTGTTTTATATTGGTAGTGGTTCAATACATAAAAGGTTTAAATCCAATAAAAATAGACAAATAAGGGGAGACATATCAACAATTGTAATCCTTTTATTAATAATGTAACTTGCAGGTTATTAAACATAAGAAACATACCAGAATATAAGAAAAACCATATACTAAATGGTTCAGATCAAAATTAAGAAAATCATAAATTAGCTAAAACTAGACAGAACAATAAGTTTGACAGTTTTATAATAGTTCAAATAAATATCACATAAAAAAGTAATAATAATACTGCACAAAATACTAACATTTAACTACTAGCAAAAATCTTCTAAGAATACACTAAAACAATTAGACATGACATTAAACAAACACATATAATTACCTAAATGTGTAACTTAAATAATAAGTTCTATAGATAACGAAAATAAATATATACATACACAACATGAATAATCTCAAAATAGTTTTAGAACCACAGTATGTCAGCTGTCTTTCAATAATCACCATCAGTATGAGATTTTGTAGGCAAAAATGAACAAGCTATTGCAGCTGCCAGAGAAACAGAACTGTAGACTGCCACAGTAGAAGACAATGATGATTGGAATAAAACCTAAAATTAAATTTTATTAACAAAAAATCAATAAATGGGTATTTTAAACATGGTTAAAACCAATAGCCCTATCAAGCAAATCATTTTTAATTTTGTAGGAAAAATAATAAACAAAATACTGAACACAATTAATTTCCTTTCATTTAAATTAATTAAATTTTACCTACATCAACAGGATTCCTCAATTATGGAGAAATCATTAAAATAAATATACATAATTTCAATAAAACTTGTACTTTCTGGAATTTACTTAATAGAAAAAACAAATGAACCACATACTCTCAAATAACCTTAATAATCCCTTTACAGCATTCTCTAAGCTTGTTTAATTCCATTCAACTTCTTCAAAAAAAGCCTCAGCTTAGTTACATGTTTCAAAGAAGAAACATGACAGTGTCATACAAAATTCTCGTAATTTTAAGGCATTAACGGAAACAAAATTTCATAGCTGCTGAAGCAACTCGTAAAATTATTAAATATGAAGGGGAAGGTGTCCTTGATCAGTGCACAGTGCGGTGTTGGTTTGAAAAATTTAGCAGTGGAGATATGACGTTGGAAAGCAAGAAGGGCTTCGGGTGACCATTAATGGATATTGATGAGGTCCTTCACTCACAAACTTGCCAGGGAGTGTTGGAAAGGCGAAATATGCCATTGGTCACCATCTAATACATTGGGAAGGTGAAAAGACTTGTCCCTCACGAACTTACTCCTCAGCAATCAGCTAAGAGGTTAGAAATTTGTGAAAATTTATTGAAAAACCCTTTTGATATGAGATTTTACCGTAATATTGTCACCTGGGTGTACTAGTGGATAAAAAAGTGGATTTACTGGTGAAATCTGAATACACATGAGCAATGGCTAGATCATGGTCAAACTGCTTTTCCGATTGCTGCAAGGGAGAAATTTGGAATTTTGAAGGTGTTATTCATCACAAATTTGTTCTTGATGGATGCTCTATAAATTCTGAACTCTACTGCGCACAACTGAAAACATTGTACGCAAAGTTGACAGAGCGTTATCCTGCTTTGATCAATATAGTCCAGACCTCACACCATCGGATTACTACTTATTTAGATCCATTAGCTCTGGAGCCAGGGCCCGAAAATCGACCTGATCGTAGGCGAAGGTTTGATTGTAAATTACAAAAGTGTATGTTATCTAAAAAAAACCTTGTCTGCCGTTCAGGAGCCGCTGCTTTCAAAAATGGCGGCTGATTTAAAGAATATTAGGCCAATAATTTGAGGATCGAAACAAGAAATCCATTGCGAAAAATGTGAGTAAAGTTTCTATTTTTTAACTTGTATATATGTGTTCAGACATGTAAAAAACAAAATTTCTAATGCAGGCCACCAAGGGAAAACTTTTTACAGCCAAAAAAGTCAGATTTTTTCGATATTTTTTGGGTTTTTCATCTATAACTCCTAAACTCATAATTAGTAATTGGTTGACTGTCGTGGATAATGAAGATAAGAATAGTTGGGGGTGGTCAGTCAAAAAGGAAGGCAAAAAAATAAATATTATCATTTATTTTTTTGCCTTCCTTTTTGACTGACCACCCCAACTATTCTTATCTTCATTATAACTCCTGAACGATGGATCAAAGCAAAAAATGTATTCTTTAATAAATTAAAGAACGTTAAATTTTGCGTCAAACGAGTACATAAACTTTAAAATTTGGTTACGCGGTAAGGTATAAAATCACGGTCAACCAACGCTGAGTTTTACCAAATTTGCCAAAAACTGAGACAAATTACTATAAATGGCCCTGTAACTTGGAAATGAGTTCTCTAAGAGGAAAAACCCATAGAATCAAATTTTGCGTATACTGAGTACTGACATTTTTATTATTGGCCAATTATATATCTCGAATTGGGATTCGTTATTCCTTTATAAAATTCGGTATCTTTTGGCACATCGTTTACCAAAATCCTTTGCTGTTGAGAGGTGCAAAAGAGGCTTATACTGCATGTAACAGACTTTAAACAAAACTAACTCAGTAGAATAGACACCCATACTGTTGAAATACTGAAAATCACGTTTATCTTCATTACCAATTTCTAGCTATCGGGAGATTACCGATTTTGTTCGCAGCAAGTGACTTACATTAAATTATTTGATTCTGAGTATACACGAAATTTGATGCTCTACAACTTTGACTCTATGGGTTTTTCCTCTTAGGGAACTCATTTTCAAGTTACAGGGCCATTTATAGTAATTTGTCTCAGTTTTTGGCAAATTTGGTAAAACTCAGTGTTGGTTGACCGTGATTTTATACCTTACCGCGTAACCAAATTTTAAAGTTTATGTACTCGTTTGACGCAAAATTTAACGTTCTTTAATTTATTAAAGAATACATTTTTCGCTTTGATCCATCGTTTAGGAGTTATAGATGAAAAACCCAAAAAATATCGAAAAAATCTGACTTTTTTGGCTGTAAAAAGTTTTCCCTTGGTGGCCTGCATTAGCAATTTTGTTTTTTACATGTCTAAACACATATATACAAGTTAAAAAAATAGAAACTTTCCTCACATTTTTCGCAATGGATTTCTCGTTTGATCCTCAAATTATTGGCCTAATATTCTTTATTTCAGCCGTCACTTTTGAAAGCAGCGTCTCCGGAACGGCAGACAAGGTTTTTTATATTCAGAATAACATACACTTTCGTAATTTACAATCAAACCTTTGCCTGCAATCAGGTCGATTTTCGGGCCCTGGCTCCAGGCCTACATGGCCCATTTTCTTCAAGGGAAAAATTTGATAACTTTGTGGAAGTTGAAATTCCAGTCCCAAAGTTTCTTCTAAGAATCAAGACAGCCATCCCAAAGAATGGTATCAGCATAGGATCAAGCAATTGGCTAATGACTGTAGATAACAATGGACTATACTTTGAGTATTAATGGTATTTTATATTAAAGAAATAATAATGCACTTATTTGGTTGAAAAAAGGGTCTTTTTTTTATTTTTTATATGCTCTATTAAAATATTATAAAGGCTCCAAGTGGTTCTTACAAAAAAATTAATCCAATAAAATAAATATGTACACCAAGTTTAATTGTGAATAAATGTTTCAATAAATCATCACCTGAGCTATATATGGAGTCAACATTGCTCCAAAGCGTGCCATGCCACTGCAAGTTCCAACCCCTACAGACCTCAATCCAGCAGGGTAAACCTAAGAATTGACAGTATGGACTCAATAACCCAGTAAAGCTATCAGAGAACTTTGATCTAAGACTAGAATGATATGAACAAAGTTTATTGTCAAACACCATTGATGAAATACTTTGGTTGAGAACTTTATACAGTAAAATATGCCATAAAGATATTAAATGATAAATGATATTTTTTTCCTTAAATATATATTATTTTAATATTAAAGATAATTTGTTGAAATAGGTATATATTTATAAAGCCCATAGAAGACTTTATAACTTTCTAGCAATATGGCAAATAACTATTGAGTTTCTGTTTTTCAATAGCTATATAAATTTTAAAAAGACTGTGGGGTATTATAAATTCTTGGAGTATAACATTTATATTGTATATTGTAAAATATTTATCTTACTTCTGGAGTATAAACATAAGCAGCTTGAAAAACCCCAGCAATGATCCCTCTTGCGAAAAATAAGGTAGTAGTGAGATAAATACGACTAAAAACAAAAAAAAGTTAACAAAACATAAAAATTATAATATTCAAACAAATTTTAGAAGTTAGAAGTATAAATATTTCAATCTATCTTAATAAAATCATAGATCATAAAGAGTTGTGGGTAATGAAAAGTAACATAAATAGAATAAATACTTGTATTTTGTCACTTGAAAGTGACCTAACCATTCGGTTGCTGCCATGATGATGGTTAACCCATAATAACCTATTTTTTTTTATTAGGTCTAATGTAAAATAAAACAATGAAATATCGAATCAGATTTATACAAGAATGCTTGAAAAAATAAATAAATAAACACTGTAATAATATAGGCACATATATGTTTATATTAATAAACAAAAGATCTTAACTTGAAACACCCACATATCATTTTTCACTTGGATACTTGTGAGCGACGCGGGCCCTATGGACTGCTATCTGCAGTTATCATGTTATTTAAAGTGTTATTTATATTTCTTATTATTAAATTAATATATTATTATTATATTTGTATATCTTATATATATATATATATATATATATATATATATATATATATATATTATATATATATATATATATATATATATTATATATATATATATATATATATATATTAATAAGAAACAGGCAAAAAAGAACCAACACCAAATATATTTATATTTCTTATTATACGAGAGTCTAATTTCATATGAAGATAGGGATTATAAGTGCCTTATAACAATTATCAGTGTTCAGGTTATAAATATTGGCAGATAGGGATTACCAGTGCCTTACCACAATTATCAGTGTTCAGGTTATAAACATTGGCAGATAGCAGTCCATACAGCCCGCATCCCTCACAAGTACCTTCATTTGGAATAAACAAAACAATAGGAAGTTTACAATGATGTTCTGAGAAAAACAAATAAACACTAATTTTTATTCCCCTGTATTTTGGCAAAAATTAGTTGGAATCCTATTTGATTATTTGTTTTTTTATTTTTATTTTTAAAAAGTCATCTTTATACGTTCTTATGTCATAAAGTAATGACTGATAAGTTATTTCAAAATACTGGGACTTTATTGATTTCATTTCAGTTTATTTTATGTTTAACTTTTGTGGTATGTTAAAACTGAATATTTTATTAAAACATGTTATATCCTCTTTTATAATTGAACTTAGAACTATAAAATACTTACTTTTCAGAACAAAAATAAAGAATCGCAAGACAAATGGAGAACATAGTAAACTGGACAGCCATTGTTATCTTACGACCAAACCGTTCAATGATAAAAATTGTAACAAATATGCCTGTAAAATTTACATATAATATATAAAAATCATATACATTAAAATTAACATAACATATAATACATACAACGCCACATAATTTATGTCCAAGAATTTTACATAATTTATGTGTACTTATAAGTACACTTTTTAGTAAAAAATACTTATAAGTATCCTATATTATGATTTTTTTCATACAAACAAAAACTTTTTTGGAAAATATACAATTATATAAAAACAATATACAATTCCCCTGCAGGAAATAATTTAATAAATAAATAATAATTCATATAAACACATAAATTTTGATACATACTTAAATATGAACCACTTTCCTTCCAAAATTTTAAAAGAATGTCAGTTCTATACAATGAATGCTATTATATCTGATGTTTGTTTCACTTTCTTTATTACTCAAAATTTAATTCTTTATAATAGACATGCAAATAAAATAAAGTGTGTAAATATATTTTGGTATTTAGGTTATCATATATATATATATATATATATATATATATATATATATATATATATATATATATATATATATATTACTTTTATACATGCACACTCTTTTATGTCCACTTATATTTATTTATTATGTCCATTAGAAATTTAAATTTTTAAAGTTCTTAATTCTAAAATTCTTTTATTTTATTTTATTCTTAAGGAAATTATTCAGGAATAAATAAAAAATGTATTATAACCATTATTTGTCATTATAATACACAGGCAAGCACATGCACATGCATACATACACACACACACACACACACACACACTCACACAATGAATTCTAAATGTTAATGATTTACTACTATGAACATTAATTTTAATTAACTTCCAAGATCATAAATTGTCAGTTTAAAATATATTTATAACATGAGTAAAAACAGAAGTTTTGTATTTTTTTTCTACTAATTCATAAAATATATTCAAAAACATTCAATTAAATGTAAGACAGATAACATTTTCAAAAGAATACATAATTTGTGCCAAAATAAAACAAATAATACATACCTGGAAATTCAGCAAAGGTAGTCCAAAGTAAATCCATATAATCCTGAGTATTAAGATTAGTGCAATCTGCCATACAATTAGAAATAGTTGCATTTGGATCATCATTTATTTGACACTGTCCATGACTTTTAATAATCAAGCCTGTAGTCATCAAAACAACACCATAATAACAAAATGCACATGCAGTCCTGTAAGAAATGTAACCTTGCTTTATGTCAGAATCATTTGCACTGTATCAGCATTTTCTAATACCAACCAGATAACCCAAAGAAGAACAGATGTTCTACGTAACTGAGGGATAAGCAAATCTAGAGCTCTTCCCTGTTTTTCTTGAACTGCAGCATCATCTACAACTAACCGCCCAGTTGGCATAGGCTTGTTGTTTTCTGATGCTATTCTTTGCAATGTTTCCAATGCTTTTTCTGGTTCACCAGATGCAACATGATAACGTGCACTTTCTGGTAGAAACTACAAAATATAGTTATAAAAAATTATTTTTCTTCATTAATTCTAAAATAATAAGTTCTATGATGCTATTTAGATCTACACTGACAGGCAAAAAATTCCACCCACTTGATTTTTTCATGTTTTCATCTAAAAATATTTCTGCTATGGATTGGTCTATTGTTTTTAATGAATAAATAGGTAATCTTTTTGTTTGTTTTCAATTAGGAATGTTAATATAGAGGACAATAGCCCTTAATCCTTAATTCAATGAAATGATTCTAGATTCCAATGTTTACTTTCTATGGAATCAAAATGTTTATTCAGTATTATTAGTTCAGTGCTGTTTCTTGCAGCACATTTCTTAGTCTCTGGCTTTTAATTTTTTCAATATTAAGTTTAAAAATGCATCTTAGTGCTGAGGATGTTGCGCGTGGTGTGGCACTTATTGATGATGGACGTTCCATTAGATATGCAGCTAATGCCATCGGAGTTCCATATGAAACTTTACGCTTTCGAGAAACTGGTTCTTACAATAGAAGGCCCTGGTAGAAGGCCTTACAATAGTAGGTTCTGGATGGCCTAGGGTAACAGAACCCCGGGATGACCGGTTTTTGACTTTGAGAATTTTACAAACCGGCACCTTACCGTTGTTCAAGCGATTCATCAGCTCGAAGAAGTTCTCGGTGTGCAAATTTCTGAACGTACCGCTCGGAGAAGATTAAATGAGTATGGATTAATGGCTTTTCGTCCAGTAAGCGGACCAGAGTTGACCAGAACTCACCGAGTAACACGGCTGGCTTTTGCTCGAGAACACAGCCATTGGACTATGGATGAATGGAGTGCTGTACTTTTTACAGATGAGTCAAGATTCGCTCTTCGATCTCCAGACGGGCGTAGGGTGTGGAGAAGAAGAAACGAAAGATATGCAGCCTGTAATTTTTCCGAGAGCCAACCTTTCCAACGTGGTTCCTTAATGGTGTGGGCTGGGATTTCAATGGAGCGCCGCACAGAATTGGTTGTTGTTCGTGGAGGGTCTTTGACGGCCATTCGCTATGTAGATGAGATTTTGGAACCTCATGTGTTGCCTATCCTCAATGAAATCGGCGATCGTTCTATTCTAATGCACGATAATGCATGCCCACATGTCGCCTGCATAGTGCAGACATTCCTTCAACAGAACAATATTGAGGTTTTAGCCTGGCCAGCATGTTCTCCAGATTTGAACCCCATTGAGCATTTATGGGATAACCTCGGAAGACGAATAAGAGCGCGTGCAATACTTCCTGATACACTGCAGGACCTTGAAAGGGCTCTTCGGGAGGAATGGGCTATCCTCCAGCAAAGGGACATTTCCCGACTGGTGGAAAGTATGCCGAGGCGTCTTCAAGAAGTAGTGAAGGCAAGAGGAGGAAACACGCGCTACAAAACGATGATGTAATTAATTTCTTTTAGAATAATAATGGTTCGCTTTTCAATTTTTTTTTCTCTAATCTTTCTTCTACAGAATCTACAAATACCATGTATTATATACAAATACAACTTTTTTTACAAGTGGATGAAATATTTTTAGATGAAAACATGAAAAAATCAATTGGGTGGAATTTTTTGCCTGTCAGTGTATATCACTTAAATGTAAGAAAAATAATATATGTTTAAATATTATTGAATATAAAAGAAAAAATAAATTATTAATCAAATAATACTTTTACAACATGCTTAGTTTCACAATTTAACCTCAGAATATATATATATATATATATATATATATATATATATATATATATATATATATATATATATATACATATAATCAGTTTTACAGGGTTTTTCACATGTTTGCACATTTCACATAAGTTCCTGACACAGGAGTGCATCAGAGCTCCACTTCAAATATCTTTAGCCAACAACTATTGTAATAAGCTATTTTATATATATATATATATATATATATATATACAAATTTTTTTGAATAACAATATAATGCATACAATATGCTTTTGCATGGTGTATGCACATTTCTAAGGAATATACGCCTCTTCTGTAGGGTTACTAAAGAAGAGAAAAAAAAAAAAAAAAAATATATATATATATATATATATATATATATATCAAATAATAGTGATTGGAGTTATGTATTAATTTATATTATACAATAATTTAAGACCTAATAAAATTTTAGAACTTGTTCATGAATAAAAATATAATATTACAACAATTCTAGATTATTTTACACTTTAAGTGTAATAAAATTTATAAGCATTAATATAATTATGGAATTGATTACAATAGTACCTAATAAAGCCGATAAACTTAATAACTATTACTAATTGATTTGAAAAATAAAGTAGAGATGGAATTGTTAAGACCTCCAAGAATTGCAATTAGATATTCATCAGTTTATGCTTGAACGAGTGTGATTTTAAGATGATAACTAACATTTATGGTTCTGATACAATCAGATACTAGCACTAATTAATTTATCAAAAATTACTAACTGATGATATAAAAGTAAATGCCAATATAGGAGCAGTAGAAAGAAAAAGAAGCCATTGTCTTCCCATTGTTGGCATAATCAATAAAGCAAGAACAACTTCAAAACAAGCACCAAGAGCCCAAAAGCACTAAAAACAAAACAAAAATGACTAAAATAAAATCAGAAAAATAGAAAAAATATATTAATAGAAAAAAACAGTCAACTTATTATAAATATTCTCCTTTATATACAATTTCTTAGTTGTAAAATAAATTAAATGAGTTATCCACCATTAGAAAGATGAATAACTGACAGTATATTTTCTGTAAGATTAATATTACACAAAAAAAAATCGTATACAAACAACTTTGGTAATAATAACTTCAGTAAACATACCAAATTGGATTGGCAAAAAACATTGAGGAACACTTTTATTAGAATAGAAAGATTAGGAGTATAATACATGTTCTATTAACTAAGAGAATATATTATCAAATGTAAGGGACAATAATGGAATTTATGATTAATATATTTTGTCTAGCAGTTAAACATTGATGGCATTAACATGGCAACATTAAAAATATTATATGATACGTATCATGTCATTATCAATAGGATCACATTTTACATTCAATTTTTTCCTTAAAATAAAGTAAATAATAAGGTAGAATGCATCACACAAATTTTGCTTACCACCCTACTATCAGCAGAAATTAATTGTTTGAAATATTAACGAACCTTAAATAATACTTTAATTATAAATATAAATTATGACAATTCTGTACACTATATATATATATATATATATATATATATATATATATATATATATATATATATATAGTGTACAGAATTGTCATAATTTATATATATAAAAGTAATGATATTCGTGTGGTCTTAAAAGGCCGTTTCGTGAAGAAGAAAAAATTATACATTATTAACTAAAAAAATAAATTCATTAGCTTTTTATCACACTCTATGACCTTTTTCAATCTTCATTTCTCTAAAAGCTTGAGCTTTGTAATTAAATATCTGATTTTCGGAATTTAGTTTTCAAATTACAAAAATACTTCTCCCATATTCTCCTATAGTTAGTTATCAAATTCTTTCATAGTTCATACTTATCCTGTTTTATTACTACTAACAGTGAGAGACCTTTAATTAATTCTAATAAACAAAATTAAAGGTACTTAAGAGGAAGGAATTTCAGAAATTCGGTATTTAAGGCCTGTCAGACTATTCAGTAAGGTTAAGACCTATATGAAATGAAAGATCTAATATCATACAATTTAATTTTACATTAATATGATGAGTTCAATAAAAATCGATCGAAATATAAAATACAATTTCTGGTATTTTATTTTATACGGTATTTTATTTTCATGAAAATGTTGTAACATAACAGATGTTACATTTCAGTTTCAGACAACATTTCAATTTGAGTTTGGCTGTTCACATACTTTAACATACACACAGAACTATTTTCAGAACTTGGTTGTTTGGACTAAGAGGACCTCAAGATTTCTTTTCATTGAAAACTTTGAATACAATTTTTTCACAATCACAATACTTTCCCTTACTATATATTTAATAGAAGGATAAATGAAAGTAAAATCAAATAAATTAAAACCAAATAGTTTTTATATAGTCAAGTGAATCCAATAGGAGACATAAGATTCTTATTCATTCACAAACCCTCATTTTTTTTATTTTTAAATATACATAGCATTCCTAAATACATGAAAAATATGAACTTCTAATTTCAATAGCTAACATAAAAAAGTAGTATTTGTATTCAACTAAGTTTCACATCGTTTGCAAACAACAATATAAACAGTTATACTTTATGAGAGGTAAATAAACACTAACATCAATCAGCCATATCAAAACACGTACTCATAACAGGAAACCTGCCATCTATCACAATATTCATATAAAAACTAATACAAGAAACCTTTGTACTTACATCTAGAAGAACAACACATTTTGCTCGCTGCATAGTAGGCAAGAACTCAGAATACAATGTAACACTAAAAAAAAAAAAAAAATACTAACTGAAAATAACACTGATATTAATGTCATAAACATTTGTAACAATCAGGATTAATCAAACACCTGTAGTGTCCTGCACTGTGAATATTTATTTTAATTTGTTCACTGATGTGAATGTGAAACAAATTTTAGTAGATTGCCTTTTAGGAGGTAAATATTAGGGCCAACAATAAAACATTGACATTTTTACTCAAGATATAAAAATTTTCTTACAAGAAGAGAAAGAACAACACTGATTATATCCTAAAAAATTGCCATTTTAAAAATTGAATGGAAATAAAATAAACAACCTTTGATGAATTTAAAAATTGTTTAAAGATAAATTAAAATTTAATATAGAAGCAGTATTTAACTTATAAGTAAATAATTCAAAAAGGAAGTTTACAAATTCTAAGATGTTAATGAGATCAACCTTGGCGAGTAAATCATAAATACTTACTTGTATTAATATTTATATACCTAGTTCTGCCATAAATACTGTTACAGAAGTTGAACTTTGTTTACATCCTTGAGTATTATTTAGATAATATTTACCTCTATCAGGTTATTTTCTTTACATGTCGGGATAATAATCCCAATTTGTTTATGTTTTTATTTTGCTCAGTTAAAATGGAGTGGGGTGATAAAGAAAACTTAATAGCTTTGATTGCCTTAAAGAAAGTTGGAAAATGTAGGTCAGAGATTTTCAACATTTTGAAACCTTTAGCTATCAGCCGTATGTTCATGTATCGCACTATAAATAGATATAATGAGACTTTATCTGTATGTTACAGGCCTAGAACGGGGTGTTCCTGCACTGTGAGAACGGCAAATGCAGTGAGAGCAGTGGCTACTTGAATCAGAAGAAATCCCATTCGAAAACAACAAATTATGTCTCGGGAATTGGGAATCTCTGTCAGATCAATTTCTCACATAATAGAAAGACCTTAGGATGGGTGCATTTCGAAGAATGACAGGACAAAGGCTTACCACTTTCCTAAAAAAAATTCGAGTGGATAGATGCAAAGTGCTTCTTGGCCGTTACACCAATAGTCTTCATCGAAAGATTTTGTTAAACGAAGAGAAAATGTTTACAATTGAAGAAAAATTTAATTGCCAAAATGATCATGTGTACGCACACAACTCTAAAGAAACCCATAAAGTCATTAGAAGAGTGGAAAGAGGTAATCACCCGTCCTCAGTGATGGTTTGGAGGTAAATTTGCTTTGATGGCATCACAAAGCTCCATTTTTGTAAAAAAGGAGTTAAAACAGCTGCTAAAAAAGGACGACATAATAGAACCTGTAGATCAGCTTTGGTCCAAACTAAAGAGGATGGCATGCCACAGAGCACAACTGAACTTGGAAAGCTTCAAACAATCTCTTGTCTGAGCAGTTGAGCGCTTTCCTCAAGAAGTGCTGCATGCTGCTATTGATGAATGGCCAAGGAAATTAAATGCCTGTGTCAAGCTAAAAGGGGGACATTTTGAGTAATTTCTATTCTGTTTTACTCTATATAGATATACATTTTATTTTCTAATAAAATTTTTGAAAAAAATAATTTTTCTGTTGAAATCTGTATATATATTTCCCTGCAACAATATTTATGACAGGACTAGGCATTTGAATTCAATGTTAAAAGTTATGTATACAATTCTCTGTTCAATTTAGAACTTATATTTAAAGCTATTTTAAATTTTAAAAAATATTCATAAATATCCTAACATATCGAATATTGGATATAACTTACGACTGAGGAATACAACCAATTGCAAAACCAGCAATGCCTCGTAATATTAATATCCACATATAGTTTGGTGAGAGGGAACTTAGTGCTCCATAGTATAACAGAAGATAGGCACATAGTAGCAGAGCCTAAAATAATATTCAATTATTAGATGATTAAACAAATATAAATATACATAATCTGAATCTATATTTTTACTAAAGGTAAATTTATGTATTTTAATCATAGGTATTTCTTTAAAACAAAAAATAATATTATTTAAAATTTTCAAAAATATGTAAATATAAAATAAAAAGTGAGGGTAATGAAAATGAGAAAATAAAACTTTTTTTAGCAATAGAAATATATATATATATATATATATATATATATATATATATATATATATATATATATATATATATATATATTTTACTGACAGTTTTTTAAAAAAATCATTAAGTACCCTTTTTATAAAATTAAATTTTAGAATAGTAGAATTAATAATTTTTTTTCAGTGAAATCAGAACATTGTACCCTTCTTCTAACTGTTATTGACAAATAGTAGGATTTGTGATATTTTTATCCACTTAATGAGTTTTTGCATTGATAAACAACGTAAAAATTCACAAATAAGAAGTTTGGATCCATTATTAGTACTCAGTAATTTTTTATAGTAAAACTATGGATATTAATGAGGACAACATTAAATTAAAACTAATAATCATTATAACTATCAATGAGTAAATCAATAAATAAATAATGTATACTCTTTTTTTCTATGATATTCAACATTTGTCATTTAATGTAAAAGTTAGTTTAGATCCAACAAATTTTCATTATCCCAAAATCGATTATTTAGTTACCAGCCATCAACTCCTTCCAAAATATGATTATTTAAAATTTAAATTAATGTCTAATAACAAAGAGAAACTAAATTTCACTAAACCTAAAATTTTATAAAACCATATACATGATGTCCCGCAAGTAGAGGGAAATATTTAAATGGGTGATAGCAGACTTCAAGAGCTAAAAAGAAAGTATACTTTTTAAAAAAGTTGAGTTTGTCATTGTTAAAACCATTTTAAGAGGACTTTTGGGCGGCTAAACTAAGCTAAGTTTTGTTTTTAACAAAATCATAAATGTTTTGCAATATTTTTCATCATCCTCCAACTATACTACCAACTATCATACTCCAGTTTTAGAAAAACTTCATTGTTTAATATGCTTTAAGTCTATATTAATCAAATTGAAGTCTATGAGAAAATAATTAGAGATTCACAACTAGTTGTGTCAAAAATATGTGATATCATGTGCAGTCACCTAAAGGTACCCGTGTTTTCAGCAAAATGGTCACAATTAACTGTTGCAAAGTATTAATTTATTCATTTTTAATGACCTGGGATGTATTATAATAAATATGAATTCATAAATACATTTTTTGTTAATAAAAAAAATTAACAAAGAATAAACTTGAAATATAAAGAATTTTATCAGCTAGAAGTTCATTAAATACAAAAATAACATATTTTTTAATAAATTAAAGTATACCTTTTTTCTGCCATACTTGTCACTCACATAAGCCCAAAATGTTGAGCTCAACATCATTCCCATAAAAACCATCTATAAAATCAAAATGTAATTTATCAATTCAAAATACTTTACACATTTAACCAAATAAAGACTAAAGTGAAATAGGTATAATAAATTCTCACTATCCATTATTACCAGACATCAGGGCTAGCATGATGTCAGATATCTTATATCAGTTCATAGTAAAAAATATTTTAATAATAGCAGAAATATTTATTAAGGCTTCTTCAAAAGCACCCTTACTCTATGTTTTATATCATAAACTGTTAAACTAAGAAGCATCAATTACAGCCAATGCCTCTGGATTAAGTACATCAATTACTTCATCAGGCTATGTGGGTAGAATAAGTGAAAAGAGTCCTGCTAAAAAGATGAAAGAAAGAAACCACACTAAAAGAAAGGGTAAGACTGAGATTGTGTTGGGCAGATGCAGAAATGCAAGATACCAACCTAATCTCCATGACTAGAGGTAACTATACTAGCTAGAGCCACCTGGAAAAGGCTCCTTAAGTGAGCTAGAACCCACAGGGTTCTAAAGCCACATTGTGAGTATATTTAATCTATCTTTTGTCTAAAAAGTTTAAAAATTATATGAATACTATCCCTTTGGTGTGCAACAAATAAGGAAAATATGCAGACAAAAGACATTTAATATAATAATTGCAGAAATATTAATTATATTGGAATTGATATGAAAAAATTCTTGGTCATTGATCTAATAAAATCATTTTAAAATTGATTTTTAGATTCTTTCTCTCGCTCTTTCTCTCTCTATATATATATATGTATATATATATATATCTTGAAACATAAAACCTTAAATTTCAAAGGTGTTAAAAACCTGCATTATTGAAAATTAATGAAAAAGTTAATGAAATAATTTATACTTATTAATTTAAAGAAACTATAAACAAAACTGAAAATAAAAATAATAATGTGCAAAAAAACTTACAGTTGTGAATAGTGCTTGTTGGTAACAAGAAATATTCCATTCACAATGAAGTGCGGGAGCTAAAATGCTTAAAATAGTCATTTCCATAGAATCGGTCATCCAACAAAGACCAGTGAATAAAGAAAGCTTAGCTTGAAATTTTCCAAATCCTAAGGCATTAACAGCCTGAGTAACAGTAAATGTATCTGAAAAAAATTAGGTTATATTCCACATTAGTAGGATAGTAGCAGATTTAAAGGAAAATAATCTAAGAGGAAATGAACAATCAAAGAGCAATGATAATAATTTATATTTTAATAAGTATGAATCAGATTTTGGAGGGGAGAAGAACTCTCACCGATACTGCTCAACTTGGCACTTGAGAAAGTGGTAAGAATAACATAATCTGAAAATGGAGGGGTGCACAATGGAATTAATCATAAAATCCTTGGATAAAGAGATAATATAGCTGATAAAAGAAAGAGAGCAAACCGGCCTACAAGAAAATGAAGATAAAACAAAATACACAAAAGTAAGCCAAACATTCCACACCAACAATAGGATCTATATAGAAGAGGTATTATTTCCAAGAGCAGGCAGAATCAAATATTTCAGATTCACAATTATTATTATTAGTTGGGCACTACAACTTGGTGACGAATCCTGGCCTCCTCAACCAGCTTTCTCCAAACATCTCTGTCTCTAGCGGCCATCATCCAGTCCCTGGTGCCAAGCATAGTTAAGAGTGCCCTTTGCCACACTATCAGTTCATTGAAGCTTTGGCCTTCCTCTCTGTCTTCTGCCATAAAGCTATTCTGTTAACAGCTTCCCTTCATTTTCTAGATGGAAGTATATGTAATGTTTTTGTTCATAGGACTTGAACAACATCGGGCTCTAGATATTGTAATATACACCTTAATTGAAAGTTGTTAAAAATAGTTCAATAAATTAATGCAACAGTTAAAGGAAAGTTAATCTAGTTCTATTAGTTCAGGGAAAAGAAAATAGCTGCTCTCTAGTTTTCCCAAAAAAGAAAATCCCAAAGATAGGATGGGACAAAGGATTTTGTTTTGGCAAACAGTTGTTGTGTGGCTGCAGTGAAGAGAGGATAGGAGAAGGGATCCTGGCTTCAGTGGGTAAAACCCAGCAATAGTATTACCATCTTGGAAGTTGATGTTTGACAGAGTCACTGCGAGGACGGTTCTCCTCTTGAGCCCTCGGTTCAAGTCGTCCCTCATCGACTGGCGATGTGTAGGCACCCTCTTGCACTATCGGCAATTGATGTTAAGCCGTAGCGATCGTAATGATTGCAGATCCTGAGACCAATCGTGCTCTGAGGTCAGGTAAGAAATTTCATCTGATCTAATTGGTGCTACAGGGCGTCACCGGAGCCCTGGCAGTGCTTTGGGTGGACGGCAAGAGTGCTTGCACTGCTTGGCCGTGGCAGTCGTAGTGGTCATGTGTTTGCGACTACTCACTGTAAGACACCAGTGTTCAACTCGTGACTTAGTTCCGGGCCAGTCATCTGGTTTTAGTGTATAGATGAGCAGTGGAAAGCTATGGTAGTAGGGAGATGGCCCTCTCTGTGAGCACCGGTGGAGTGCTTGCACCTTAAGACCTGTCTGGGGTGTGAGGCTAGGTTGGGGTTGGTTAATACCTGGTTACGTACGATCTCAGCAGGTGCCCACACTCCGCAGAATAGGCATATGAACCTCTGACAGAGTCACTAGTTGTTTGGCATTACAAGAGAGAGGATCTCCCATGAAACTTGAGTTGAGTAGAAGAAAGTGTCACCATTTTGGAAGTTGTGTTTGGCAGAAGATTGGAAAGCATTTGAAGACAAATGAATTTAGTGCAACAAAGGAAGAAACAGTATCTATAGAAAAAAGGTTAGCTTGCCAATCCATATTTGACTTTATTTTAAAACCAAACAGTGTTTAGTATAGTTAATTTCAGTTTGTCTGAGTGTTTTGATCTGATTGTCAATAACCTATACCTGAGATAGAATAATTGTAAATTTCAGTTTATTATATTAATATCCTCATAATTTTGTTTTTTATTTAACAACCTCTTATTTATTTTGGAAGAATCCCAACAGTATAAAGTGAGCTTCCGAGGTTACACTATTATTTATAAAATAGAAGAGAGATGTTACAATATATATCTAAAAGTTCTTGGTTGCCCCTTCTCCTCCATGCATTGTATATTTTATTTTCTCCTAATATCCTAAAAAGAATTTTTCTTTCATATATTTGAAGGTCTTGTTCACTGTTCTTCAAAAGAGTCCATGTCTCAGAACTATAAAGGAGTATTGAACCTGTTACTATGGATCTTGTTTAATGTGGTATTCTTAATCATATGGTATGCGGACTAGTGTTGTAAAAAGGGATATAAAAAAATGATGTGTTTATATAATAATGGAATGATGTGATGTAAGAGTTATGTCCATATGGACTGATCAGTATGCTGTGTAAAAAGCAACCCTATATAGTAGGGTAGCACTACTTTCAATAAAGTATTTCTCTCTGTTTGAAAGAAATTAAATCATATATCACAACCTACAAATTTAAAAACCTTTCCATTTTAACAATTTAAAATTTGCATTTACAAGGCTAACCACCACACTGAAAGGCATAAAGGAGGTAGAGAAAGAAGAACATTTATAAGGCTATAAAGCTACACAAAATTTTGATATCTAAGCCAATTTATGTTCATATGTATATGAAAGGATAATTATCATATTTTGTTTGAAAAATACCATGACATAGGAAATGTACATACTGACTACTTACATCAGCTTAAAAGAAATTCTCAGTTTTGATTCCCACATATCTATGTTGTCAAATATAAAAATAAATATACACACATAAAATATCTTTTTATTAAAAATAATAAATCACCATCAGGAACAACGGCAACAGTATTCATTTCAAGATTCTGGCAAGAAGATCCAAATGAAGCAAACTCATCTTGAAGAGTGTCCAAAAATGTATTAGGTTCTTCATGATGTTCTGAATAAGAAGAACTACTTCTTCTAGTAGGTTTGCCTTGAAACATCGTATAATCCAGGCAGAATATTCTAGGAATACAAGAAAAAAAGTAAATGAAGAGTAAAAAAGTTCATACATTCAAAATCCTATTAAAAAATAGAAATAGTTAAAAAAAGAAAAGAACCAAGAACGAAATACCAAAGTACTAAGGTGATTCTACCCCAATTTGGTTGTGAAGATCTATTGTTTCATACTTGATATTTTTATGGATATTTTGAAAATTGTTAATACTAATTTTTGATACCCCCTTACAAAAGCTTATATAATTCCAAACCCATAGATATAATACAAAATATAAGCATGAAATTAAAAATAACTGAAAAGTTCAAATTTTTTTTTTTTTTTTATCTTTTTATTGAGAAATAATACATTTTGCCACATTTAAGGGCACTGAGTACTAAAGCTGAGTGAGGCCCATTCATACTATATATACAATGCAATAAAAAAAATAAAATAAAAATAAATAAATAAAAAAATATATATCTATATAACAAAGGTAAAAACTATAAAAGAAAAACATTCATACTTAATATATAAAAAAGAAAAACATTCATACTTTATTTACAATCAGCCAAGGGAGCTCCGAGTCCAACCCCTTCCTCCACGTGTGAAGGACAAAGCGAGACTCTAAGAGATCCCAGCGCTTCTCTCTCAGCTGCGTCACTGGCAGGAGTCCAGTGGAAACTGAGAGAGGGCACTAAAGCAACAGACACTCGTGACGTGAGTGGAGAGGCTGGCCATTGCCAGAACTCCAGTGACAGTCTTTACAAAAGGTCTCGAGGCCACTGCCGTTTCAACCTTCGAGGAGGGTTGTAGGGGTGACTGGAGCTGGATAAGGATTGTGCTAAGGAGTTAGGATGGTGAATTAGGTTCAGATGAAAATTTGAGAATCGAGATGGAATAACATCAAGGACATAAGGGATGTAAAGGTCATGATGTAGGGTTTTGTTTGTAACATAATAAGGAGCATTGACTATTATACAGAGGACTTTAGACTGAAAGGATTGGATGCGTTTGATGTTCGAAAATTTAGTTGTCCCCCACAGTTCAAGTCCGTAGGTCCAGATGGGTTTGCGTATGGTCTTGTATATTAATAGTTTGTTTTCTATTGCGAGATTGGATTTTCTGTTAAGTAGTCTGTATAGCTGCCCAAATCGTCGGTTAAGTTCTTGTCTTTTAAGACTGGTATGTGGGTTCCAAGTTAGTCTTTTGTCTAAAAGGAATCCAAGATACCGAACTGTGCCTGAGACGGGGAGAGGTACAGAGTTGAAAAGGATATGTGGACAGGATCTGCGTCGGAGGGTAAAGGTGACATGCTTGCATTTGGATTCATTTATCTTAATGCGCCAATTGTTGCACCATTGCTCAATCAGGGAGATGTGTCTTTGTAGGTTTAAGGATGCTGTTTCAGGATCTGAGTGGGATGACAGGATGGCAGCATCGTCAGCAAAGGTTGCTATAAGGGTATCGGGGTTGGTTGGAATGTCGAAAAGTTCAAATTAGAAAACTTTATTAAAAAATGTATCATAAAGGCCTACGGGAAACAGTTAAAGAGCTTCAACAGAAGGATCGAGGAAAGAGATAGGCTTAATTCACTATTCTACATTATAAACACAGGCTGTTAGATAGAATATGGATGTATACAAATGAATAACTAAACAGTAAAGAAAAGAGATTGAAACTTTGTAAATCCAATCTCGACCCTTCTTCCCACTACGGTTGGTAGCCGCGGAAAGTTAGACCATATCCCCCCTTAATTAGGGGAGGCCTACAAGTTTGTAAGACTTGTATGAACAGACTGTAAAGAAATAAAATAAAAACAAAAATAAACTTTTTGGCTAATACTCAAGGACTAAATCTGGAAACTGAAAGTACCTTTTAATAATTTTTTTTTTTATTGGATTACCCCTGACCCACCATTTCTGGCATACAGGGGGGATTGTTCTAGATGTACAATCAAACTTATTTTAAACAGAGTGGGATGGTTCAGTTCCATTCTGTGGGTCCGCCATGAAATAAAAGACAATTTTCCCAAGCCAGATTCAAACAGGCATCGCTAGGCATGAGAATGCTATAATGGGCAGCATTGTAGCATTGTAGCTCCAATACTCAGACATCACAACCTTTATCTTATAACAATTGTCATAATAGACCAATACATATTGATATGGATTAGAAAAACATATTAGAACACGCATTAGCTTTAGACCATGTAAACCTCTTCACCTTGCATTAAGGTGAAAGTTGTGTTCACAAGGACTAAGATGAAAAAAGAAGCATGGCAGTCAAAATGAAATACCTGAAGAGATTTGACAGGCCGATCAAGAATATTACATCCTAATCTATTCATTACGGATGTAATATTCTTGATCAGCTTTAAAAAAACTCTTCACTAATGGATACTCTTCAAAGCTATTTCAGTAGTGTTATGAAAACAGAGGAAGATGTCATACCGAAGAATTTTTTTGAAACAAGGAAAAAGAAGCATTCCTGTGGATAAGCCTTTGAACACCCAATCAAGCAAGAAGAAAAGAAGAACTTATTATAATCGTTATCATGATAAAAATCTATTTGAATTACTGTTTTTAAAAATAATAATAAAAATGTTTACTGTTATTTTTTTCATAACATAGAATATTATATCAAGGTGCAAATGAGGATATACATAGAAATTGAATTTATGTATTATTTCAGTTTCTACTAATGCAGAACACAAGGAAAAATAATTTTTAAAAAGGTATATGTTTGCTATAATAATAATATCATTATTTTTTAAATTATTCTAAGGCTCAAATAGTGTAACTCATATTTCAAAAAGAACAACAGCATACAAAATAAAATCTACTCGACAAAAAGAGTCTTAAGCGGCAATGGAAAGATTTTAGCAGCATCCAGAATTACTTAAGAATAATAATGATTCACATTCAAGAAAATGCCTCATTCTGAAGAGAAGAAAACTCCTTTAGCCAGTCTTCACAGTATTAAGAAATTTATAAATAATAAAAGTTGATATATAGAGCCAACACCTTATAAAAAAAATAAAATAAAAGGCGATGTCCAATGACATTGAGTTGCAGGAAACAATAATAATAAGAATTCTATAAAATAATTTCATTATTAACAAGCTTCAGTCTTTAGAAATTAGAAAAAAAAATTGTATACATATGTGTGAGTGTATGTATTTATTCATTCATCCTGTTTCATCAGCTGTGGATCAACCCTAAGGTCTAGACTCTCCTGGTGAACACCTAGCCTCTATAAAGAGGATATCCTTATGTAATTAATTGATTAAGGGGAAAAACCTGGCGGGTGAGCATGGTCCTGAACAACTGTTGGCCTAGACACAGTATTTCCTTACAATGTAATGTGAACACAAGACCCTTCATGGGTACATGTTTTTTAAATGTATATATATATATATACATATATACACAGCACATTCAAACTTAAATTGTTAGAAACAAACTGCAATAACAATATGTGTAAAACAAATAATAAACATGGCATAATTTAAGAGATTTTTAAAGGGTTAGAGGTTGACATTAAACCGAAAATGTCATTTATTAATCATGACTTAACTCATAGTAGAATAAGTAATCACAACTCTCATCATCTAGAAGTTATCGAGCCAGTGATCCTTATCTACATAAAATCAATTTTTAATTAATTCTTTCAAGCCCATTTAAAATAATAAATAGTTTTCAACTGTTTAATCAATTATTGGCTAATTTACATACAGCTTCCTGCCACGTAATCATTCATCATAAAATTGTAGAATGAATTTCATGGTTGATAAAGAATATAATTAAAGATACTATAGAGATCCATATCAACTATCTTCCATTCAGCATTTCAAAACTAACTAGATATTCCAGACAAAACTGAAATAAACATACAAGAAGAAAGCAGAAATGTATAGAACTAAGTTCTGTTATCTTCAATGGAGAATACATACCATATGCCTTCACATGATCATAGACTACTGCAATTTCAACCAAGGCAAAAACAAGGGGATAATGGACAATGATTGGTTTAGTTTTGGCAATTTCTCATTGTTAAGTGAACATTATACAACATTACACAAATGCAGTCAATGATGATTCTTCAATAAATCATTTAAGCTATCAATTCAGTACACCAACTCAAACCATCGATACTTTATTAGTTTGAAATTTACAGCAAGCTTTACCTAAATCCTTAAAATTAAAAATAAATGCATAATCAAATTCAATTTCGGTCTAATTCTAAATTAAATGGGGAAAACGTGACAAGGGGAGCTGATTTTCAGTATGGTAGATATAAATAAATTATTCATTTTGTGAAAAGCTTATTACAATCTTAATCAAATTTTATTTTGAAAATAATAAATAGAATGGCATTCGATAAAAATTGCGTACACAGTTATGTTGCGATTTAATCCATAAGTCCTTAGAAAAATAATGAAATACAGTTTGTTTAAAAATTGAACATTCACTGTTACAGCGGGCGAAAACCTAACAAGCAACAGGTGTCCAAAGAGGTACAAGCCATTATAAATTATACATTACCAAAAATACAGGTCGTTTCATATCATAGCTGTGCCAAATATAAATAAATTTATTTTAAAAACAAATAATTTTATTTAAATACAATTATAAATTATTAGCGTTTTCCCAAATATCAAATGATTTTATTTGTACTCATATTTTAAATTCAAATAAATAAATAAACAATTATTAAGTGAAAAATTTGTGGCTATTTTTAGATGAAAGTATTCGTTCATTTAAAATTCCTTCCATATTATCCATGTTGTGAATATCGAGGACCATTTTAGGAAACATACATTCAGAAGTGCCCATTCCCCCCAAGGTCGATGGCGCAAAAACCGTCTCACGCGAATCGATTTACTGTCAGTTAATTTAAACTTTTTAGATTTCTTCGATTAGGAGACCGTGATTACGTTATCGGAGGAGTAGTTTTTGAAAACACTATCGATTTTTAAATTACTCTTTCGCGTATCGATTTATTATCGATTAATTTCAACTTTTGTGATTTCTTTTTTGTGGAGATCCGTTTTATACTATTAGTGGCGTGGTTTTTGAAAACACTATCTATTTTGAAATTACTCTCTCACGTATTAATTTAAACTTTTCAGGATTCGTCGATTTATTCTTTTTATTGACAAAAATGAGACTTTCCTCATTAAATCGATTTATTTAACGTTTTACTAAAATCTCATGAATATCGATTTGCTTTCCACTCGAATCGTAAGATAATTCGATCCCAAAATCGAGCACAAAAGGTGGCCTACAAAAATATTGGGCCGTTTGGCCTATATAACATCGTTATTCGACATTTTGTGGACGAAGTTACGCCAACGGCCCAATATTTTTGTAGGATACTTTTTTCTTGATCTTGTGATCAAACTATGCCATATTTTAAATGAAAAGCAAATCGATATTTTTAGGGGGTTTTATTTCTTATTTTTTTGATATTTTTTAATGATGCATGCGTCTTTAGCACTTCATTTAATTGACATTTTTACCGATTTCCAGGTTGAAAATAGCCTATTTCAGAGAACTTTCGTATATAAAATTGTTGTAGGTTACAATTAAATGAAGGCATTCTCAATGAAGGATGTTGATAGTTAAAAGGGGTCTGAACTGTGGAATAATATGTGAGGAGTTGTACGCTACCCCCAAAATTCACAACACAGGAACACCAGTTGTAAAAATTAGGTAAAAGTACACCTAAAACATCATGTAGGATAGTAACTATTTCCTGTTAGGAATAGCAGCTAATTCTTATAGCTACAGAAAAGCTATCGGGTAAACAAGTTGGAGAGTTTATATGTGGAATCCCATCAAGATTGCCGTTAAAGATTCTATCGCGATCTTAATAGATATATAACAAAAAAAAAAAAATTTGTGAACTTTTCCTTACGTTGTTATTTCAAATTCAAATATTACATTTATGAACAATTAGATAGGTTGGCTATGGATTCGTTCCCTTCGTCACTGTTGATATTTTACTAAAGGTGTTAGAATAAAAAAAACAGAGTTATAATACGTATAGCTACTTATGGATGAAGGTACTATTATGTCACGTAAGACCATAATATTGATTAATGATTATAATTTCAGGTCACCTAATGAATTATTTTTGGTAATATATATACAGGATGTTCCGTAAGTAGATGACAATTTTTATAAGAGTGTAAGTAGCAGAATTTTTTTTTTTTTTTTTTTTTTTTATCTTTAACCAACTATATTACAGATACTCCACTTTTAGAAAAACTCTCGTTATATAAGCTAAATTCTATTGTAATTAATATTAAGAAGGTATTCTTTAATTGCAAAGTTATTCAACTTGTTGCACGTTTGTAATTATATTGAATTATGAATAAATTGTAAATTAATTTTTCAAATTTTTTTTATTATTTTAAAAGTAAGTACTTTTTAATAATTATCAAATTACATCATTATTATCTACATATTAATTTCAAAAATACCTGAAGCTTCATATATTTCGACACAGATAAAATAAAGAGAGTATGGGAGACTCATTTGTTTACAACTAATCTATTGTATGTTAATTTATTTGTAACATTTTCTTCATTATCCGCATCTTTAAAAAGTTTCTTTTTCTTTTTTATATGCCGGGATTACTCTTTACGACTGTCTGTGATCTAAAAATATGGAAAGGGGGGGAAGGTGGTGATGTGTTAAATTCTCGGTTTTATTATGTAACACGGATTTTTGTTCATTTAGTCATAACATTATTACTTACGCTGCTTTCTGATTTTCGGAAGATTGGTACCGTAAGATGGGGTAACTTTGGGACTGGGTGGGTAACTTTACGACAGAGGATAAAATTTAGTTTGAGGTGATTCCGTGGTGGATACACTGTGTTGGTCCAATCTGCAAAAACATGCTTTGTGTAAGGCATGTACTGCGCTACTACCTTGCGGCAGTTTGAGAACCCTAGTTCACTACGCTCGTTGTGCAGTTAGCTTTTATTTATTTCCATTGCTATTTTCAAAATTCTTGTTTTCATTAAAATTTCGCTTGTGCCTCAAGAGCAGTGTGTCGCGAGGTAGTAGCGCAGTACATACGCTGTCAATGCTGACTGAACCAAAACAGCGTATCAACCACGGAATTACCACAAACTAAATTTTACGTGCTGTCCCAAAGTTGCCCTCCCAATCCTAAAGATACCACATCTTACGGTATGCCACATACATTTCACAAGAATAAATTATTGTGAAAAGCCTTATTTTATAGTATTTATGGTCACTATTTTAAAACGACCCAAAACCGTTAAAACATAACTTTTGCAATAACACTACATGTTTGCTGATCAACGTATTAAAAAAATCGAAATTCAAATGTACGGTGAAAATATTAACTGGGCTTCTTTCTACCGCCATTGTAATCTGAAACTGCTAAATAAGGAGAGACCAATGTATTTAAGAAGCATTATTTTTTTCGTAGAATCGGGAATTAGTTTAGGCAAATAAATGAGCAATAAACCTAATTTTGTTTTTGGTAGATTACTGGGCAAAACATTGTGGAATATAAGAAATTTTCCGATTTTCTTTTGTTAAGCCATGTTTTAACGTCTTTTTATCTGAAACAAATTCCAATCGTATCTCAAGATTATTCCTAAGTAAAAAAAAACTTCTGATTTTATATATTGCTGGATCCATGGCATGGGAGCCCGGGGTTGTACAGACCCCCAAAAATATCATAATTTTTTATAATTAATTGAAATATAAAATGTCATTAGGTTTACCGTAGAAAGTATCTTCCATCAAGATATATTCACACAAATATATACATAGGGAAGTGGCCCACAATTGTACCAGAGCCTATTCTAGAATATGGGGTCCCTACCGAAATCTATACGACTTTATGTATTCTAACGCTGTTAAACATATTATTTGAATATAATATATTCAAATGCATATATACTTATACTTATGCATTTATAAATACTTATGTATAATGTTTTTTGTTACTTAAATGTATTGTTTTATGTTTAGATTACGAATTTGTTGAGGATAAATAACCTAGAATTATTTTAAATATTCTTAAAGCTAAGTTGTATAAATACAATTTCAGACCTTAACTTTTAGACCTCTTAATTTCGATGCAGTTTGGTATTTAATTATCTTCAGTTTGATCAGTGAATGCTGTTTAGCGTAACCTCTATCATCAAAATGTCGAAATAACGAGGTTATGATAATTTATGAAGATTCTGCTGATTTTCACGTAACCGGCTAATAAAGATGAGTACAATTAAATGGTCACAGTGGCCTACATATTTCGTGGGTCGATTCTGCAGACCTACGTCTTAAACATGTTAACTTGCAGTTGGTGTACTTTTTTTAAATATTGATTTTATTTTTATTTATTTATTCTATTTGTATTTATTTATATCAGTTTTGTTTTTACAATGGAACATAAAACTCGTTGATATGGGTGGCCAAGAATTTGCATTGCGCGTTTTCGAAAAAATAATTCTACGGACATATTACAGTAACCGAACAAAAAAAAACAAGAAAAAAACAGTTAAATTTGGTCAAAAATTATTAATGATTCTTCTTGTAATAACTGGTAAAAATTCCTGGAGATTTTCGGGTCGAGTTTTTAAATGGGAAGAGGGAGGAGGGCAATTAACTGATTTTGTTTTTTAGTTATTAATAAATATCTTCTCAACTATGAGGCTTGCTATAAATATTTTTCTCTACAAAATTAAAGTATTCCAAAACCTCATAGTCCTCGGTATACACCCCTTTTTATTGAATTATTCACATCCGTCTGAAACTTCGTAAATAGTTTCATCTTATCGTAGCCTACAACTATTATATTTACGAAAACTCTTGGAATTGGGGCGTTTTCAATCTAGAGGGGGGCAAACTTTGTCTGTTTAATTAGTTACTAAAAACACTTAAATGCTCATTTGCTTTCTACGTGGATCGTAAGATAATGTGATAACAAAGTAGAGAAAAAAGGTGGCCTTCAAAAATATTTAGCCGCTTGGCGTGATATTTTTGAAGACCACATTTTTTCTCGATTTTGTGATCAAATTATCTTACGATCCACGTAGAAAGCAAATGAGCATTTAAGTGTTTTTAGTAACTAATTAAACAGAAAAAGTTTGCCCCCCTCTAGATTGATAACGCCCCAATTCCAAGAGTTTTCGTAATATAATAGTTGTAGGTTACGATGAGATGAAACTATTTACGAAGTTTCAGGCGGATGTTAATAATTCGTTAAAAAGGCGGCCTGTACCACGGACTATCAATACAAAATATTTAGTACATTTCCTTGATAAAATCAATTTCTACGGAAATATGAAAGGATCAAAATTAATAGAATTAGACTTTCAGTAAAAATTGCTTTAAGCATTATGAAACCGCGATGTTTAAGAGATATAAATTATTATTTATTAATTGGTGTAGGAGGTTTGTTGCTACTTATTTGCGGGAATT